TTGATGTTATTCAACTGCAACTTTTTTTTTCGACGTCTGGAGATGACAAAGATAGATATTTGTACTTTCTTTACTGCAGCCAACAAGGTTATTACTCTTTAAAAAGTATTCTTGCATAGCAGACTGGCGTTTCTGTTAGTTTTACCCATGCCAGAAATTTCATCTGGCATGGGGGGTGTCGTGCTGTACAATGGCACGCTTAGAATGAGGTCATTTTACCATTATGAATGAAGTTGCAATTTTATACGCTGTTGTAAGAAAGTAGTTACGGTTGTCATGATATAAATTTCCATTGAAAGTAAAGATAAAGAATTTAAGGTATAATGGAATATGGTAGAATATGCAAGAAAAAACATCTGACATATGTTTACGGTTCGGATCAGTGACCCGCCAATTGGCGGTAACTTGGCAAGCCACGTTACTGCCCCATGGGCGGGTCAATGACCCCTTGGACGGATATTCCAATCGGAACCGGAACATATGACAGATATTATTAATCATGCATAGACAATTGCTGTTTTTTGGTTAAAATCCTCGCTTAAAGTCATAAAATAACATATGCATTTTAGACTTCCATATAATTTTGGAAAGTGCCGTATGGCTAGCCATTACAGTGTGTCCTGGCTATCCGTACATGACTCACATATGGCTAGAACTTTGCCATTTGATCTGATATTATCCGCTACCACTATCCTCCCCCCAGTTACAATCCAAAAAGATATTATTTAAAGTCAATTTCCACATTTATATAAGTAATAAAATATCAAAGAAAATAAATAAAAACATTATTTTAAATTATGAGTATTAAAGGAACTCCACTAAGGTCCAACAGCTTAAGAACATATAAACATTTTTATGCCCCCTGCCAAAAAAATGGCTCGGGCATATAGTGTTACCCCATTTCTTCCTAACGTCATCATCAGTTTCCGTTCATTATCAGGTAACAGTCACACACATTCAACTCAAATTTGACGTATTAAGGATATGTCATGAGAAAATACAGGTCAAGTTAGAATTTTGTCATGGTCCGATGATTTTTGACAGAGTTATGCCCCTTGATTAAATTTTAAGTTTCCGTTCTTTATCTCTTCAATGGTGTTACACATTTAATACGGCAAAGGAATGCGTAGGTCAAGTTAGAATTTGGATGTGGTTTGATGATTTTTGGCAGAGTTATGCCCCTTTCACTTTGAAAATAATATGAAATTTTCAGTTTCCGTTCATTATTTCCCCAACGGTATTACACATTCAACTCAAATTTGACGTATGGATACTTCAAAGGAATGTGCAGGTCAAGTTTTAATTTGGTCCTGGTTCGATGATTTTGGGCAAAGTTATTCCCCTTTCACTCTGAAAATGATGTGAAATTTTCAGTGTCTGTTCTTTTTCTCCCCAATGATATTACAGTTTAACTCAAATTTGACATACAGATACATCTTAGGAATAAGCAGTTCAAGTTGATTTGGTCGTGGTTCCATGATTTTGGACAGTTATCTAAAAATTTTGAATTATCAGTTTCAACTCTCATACTTATGTGGAAATGTATGTAGTCATTATTTTGGCTACAAATATGCAATATACAATTTACAAAAGGTTAACACTGAATAGTTTTAGTGCCTTGAACTTTGTTTAAAAAATGGTTTGTGTTTACATTGAATAGTCTTCAGAGCTTTGAACTTAAAATGAAAAAAATTTGGAAGTTCTGAAATTTTGGCTTCATGCAGGGACATTTGTGGCGTGACATGACATTTCAAGTTAATTCTTACTGAGATTAACTAGGGCACTTAAAATAGATTGATATGCAAAAGAAAAAAAGAAATAAATTGAAAATCATACTTTTGTGATATTCTTAGTCTGAACTGAGTAAAAACGTTGCAACACTTTTCAAGTTGGGATTATTTTATGTAACCGCAGTATCTGCTACGTGGTGATAACGATTTACCTGTGTATGTATGTATGTATGTTGTTATGTCAACCAAAAAGAATTATAAGAATAAATTAAATAGAAATTTTCTTGTACAGACCCACAAGACCTAGAGCTTAGATATTTTGCATAAGGCATTGTCTGATAGCCCTCTACCAAGATAAAATTATAGCCTGGGAGTCTAAATTGGCCCTGCCCCAGGGGTCATTGTTTTTCACAAGATACATATAGTAAAAACTTTAAAAAAAATCATGTCTGAAGGTACAAGGCTTAGAGTTAGAGCTTTGATATTTGGCATATGATATCATCTGTACGTCCATTACCAAAGTTGTTAAAATTTTGCCTCTGGCGGCAGAGGGTTCATAGGTTTTTCTTATATGCATATAGTTAAAAATATATAAAAACATCATCTCTGAATTGACACAGACTAGGGGTTAGATATTTTACATGAAACATTGTGTAGTAGTTCCTACCAAGACTGTTCAAATTATAGCCAGGGGTCAAAATTGGCCCACCTCGGGGGCATTGATTTTCATTATGTAAATATAGTAAAAACAAATTAAAACTAATGTATTCTGAAGAGAACTAGGAGTAAGCTCGACATGAAATTGTGACGGAAACATACTTTATGGGTAACTTTATTGCCTCCCCTTTCTATAAGTTTGCCATTTGTATTGGAAAAATATAATAATGTATTTGTAAACTTATCATGGTATAAAGAGTAGGTATTTTAATCATTTTAACTTTCAAATCTGTATAACTTTAGGGTATCATTCTGAAATTGTTTATATTTGGAATTGTTTATCTGTTTAGGGTATCATTTTGAAATTGTTTATATTTGAAATTGTTTATCTATTGTTCACAGTAGTTCGTAAGAGAAATACCTTTAAGTAAAGGACACTTTTGTTTTTGTTGGAATAAGTATCAAGAAATGTTTTATTTTTATTAGCCAATCAAAATCATTGTTTTTATTCACTGCGGAGATGGTCACTGGTGTGTAGTAGAGCAGGGAGTCAGTTTGATTTGAATCTCAGATATCTGGTGCTGAAAATATCTTGCTGTTTCTGCGACAAGCGTTTGATTGAAGAAAGTTTGAGATATTGGTATTTAATTTTAAGGTAGTCTGAATATGTGTATAGAAGGGAACGACATGGTAAATACATACTAGTGTACAGAAATCGCAGATATCTGACACTAAGGACGTTTTACTATTTCTGTCAAACCTCTGGCTAAATGTTTTAGTTGAAGTATTTTTGGAGAATATATATTTTAAGTTTATTTGGTTATGTCCTTGTAAGAATCATTTCGTAATGATAGTAACATTTTCTTGTACACAAAAATCTCAGATATCTGGTACTGAAGTGTTTTGTTGTTTCAGTAAGACCTCTCGGGCCAACGGTCGATGAGAAATAATATTTTGATTGAATTTAAAGATAATATTTACTAGTACAGAGAAATCTCAGATATCTGGTACTAAGGATGCTATATTTATAAGACAAATGATTAATGAGGAACTACTTGTTATCAATGTTTCAAGTATTGTATCTTTAGAAATGAGTGAAGGATAAGAGATGGTTGAAAGGATGAAGGATAGGTAACAAGCTTAAGAATGATATTAGGTTGAGAATAGTTTTTTTTGATAAATAAATTATTTCTTGGAATATATATTTTTGATAGATTTTAGAAATAGATTAAAATTGTTATTTTGAAATGAATGGTGTTTTATTGAGTTATTTTCCGATCATAAGGATAAGTATCCCGAGAAAAATTACATGTATTTGCATTTAAGGATAATTAGATTTTATTTTGTAGCAACTAGAAAAATAATCAACAGCTTGGTACACGCTACAAAACATTGTCTGGTTGACCTGTATCAAGATTGTTTGAATTAAAGTCATTGGGTCAAATTTTGACTTTTGTTCCTACACTACTACTTTGGGATGTATCAATGCGGTGGCATAGCATTGTTCACAAATGCAGTCTTGTTCACAGAATAATTATTTTGGAAAAACACTTTGAGTCAAAATCTATAATTTTGCAAACAGGTTATTGGTATAGACCTACATCAGATGCTACTAAAATCTCAACAAATTATTTCCAAACCCATCATGTCAACAAAGATGTTCTAAATATAGCACATGACTACACTAATTGGTTCATGTGAATTACATCGTAGGAGGTCTCAAGTGTAAAATTTTCTAAATATCATGGCCCACTCAAGTGTAATTGGTGTTTCGCAATTAAATAGGCAATTTTATTGACAGCATTAATATTTGAATACTTTAAATGGTACTGAATAATATTAAAATAACTGTTTTGTTACACAAATATTACTTGTTCTTGAACTTATTTTAGACTTTGTATATTTTGTAGTTCATGATTAACTGAGACTGATTACATAATACAGATATGCCAATTAAACAGCAAAAATCAGTGTGCACAGACAATCTTGCAAAATGGTCTATAAGAAAATTAGTATAAAGTCAAAATATAAATGATAAGGTGTTAAGATATCAGAAAGCAATACTATAATATTTGAAGGACTTACTTATATCTTTAGGATAAACACTAAATTAAAAACTTTCGTCTTGAAATTATCAAACCTCCGTGTTCCTATGACATATTGTCAATCTTTATCTGCTGAATTCCCTTAAATCTTTAATGGACTTGTCCCAGCTTCCACTTTTAGCATATTCAATTATCACTTTCAGGTATATCAAGAATTAGTCTGCCAAAATTATATAGTCTAGCCAGATTGTATGCATGCCAAGACTGTTCAAATAATTTTGAAATATCAAAAGAAAAACAAAACAAAAAACAACACAAAGCAAGGCCTATTGGCATCAGGTGGAGAAGGCTTTGCAAATCTTCTTGTGAACTCTAGTGAGCATTATATTTATAGAGGGCCATCATTGCTGACTTGTTTTTGAGATCTTGTCTGTTAATTGTACAAAGTTATGCTATTGAGAAGTACTGTAAAAGTATTGGTTGATTTTGAATTAGAGTCCCTTTAAAATGTGCATTAAAAATTGTGTTAAACTTTTGCTTGAAATCTGAGAGAATTTGAAATTGTGATTTATTTTTCATTTCAGATCATCAAGAATTTTGAGATCAATAACATGATGATTAAGACAGTATGCATTTATCTTCCAACATAAAACAGTCAAGGTATGTAACTATATAAATCTATTTGATTGTAGGAAGTCTTCACATTGTTGTTGTTAAATACAGTCGACTCCACTTATAACGAACTTGCTTATAACAAATTATCGTTAATAGCGAACTAAATCTGACATCCCCGGCCGATTCCTTCTTTATTTTATATTAAATCACATCGCTTAATACGTACTCGCTTTTAGCGAATTTTCGGCTAAAACGTACTATTTTTCAAGGCCCCAAATGACGGAAAACATTTAAATTGCCTCGGTTATAACAAACTGTTATAATTGAAATATCGGGATGCGCTCATTAAGGATCAGTACACAAATAACACTATCCGATAATTAAACAATCGAATGATTGCACAGGTTAGTTATGGCTTCAGTGAATAAAGATTTTGAAAAATGTTCTCACGACATCATTTCCTACTTGTTACGGAAAATTTGTATTTCACACCCTCAGTTGATTGATGTAAATGCCCGATAATTGCCAAGTAACTGACTGTTTGTGTTTGCAATATTAACCCAAAGATAATAAACATATAGCAGAAGAAAACAAATGGTAAGAACTTCATAGACAAAACATGAATAAATTTATGTACCATGTACATAATATATTGCTCAATAAAATGCCCTGCATTAAATAACCATTAAATAACTGCTGCAGTAAAATACCGGTTACATGGGTAACCAGTGAAGAGTATGGCTTTTTCACGGCAAATTTCCCCATCCAAACAAGTCATACAGTTGTTGCTATTTCGCTTTTAGCGAACTTCGGATATAACGAACGATATTTTAATGTCCAATTGAGTTCGTTATAACCGGAGTCGACTGTAACATGTTTTTATAGGCCTTACTGTGCTTAATTCAAAAGTGCATGGCTATTTCCACCAGGATAGAGCCAGGCTAACCTGCAAATCCGTGTAGTCTAAGTCCATACTGGTGGCTGACTGGCTTTAATGCTACATGCATCCAAATTAATCAAAACATTTCAAGAAAATCAACTAAGAGTAAAATGTACTAAAAATTTAAGCAAAATAAGAATATTCACAACTCAAGTAATTACATGAATGACTGATTTTGCAGTATTTATCACTATATTTCTAATGCGTGACTAATGCAGTAAGGGCTATTTTTTTGCATATTTTGACATTTTTTTGGTAACTTACATGGAATGAAATTGCTGTTTACAATGACAACATTTTACATTTGAATACATTTTGAAAATTTCCTTGAAAATAAGCATTAATCTGGGAGTATGCTGCTTTAAATTTTCACCTCTATATCCCTAAAATTGATAATAAACTGTTCCAAGAATTGTAACTGGACATGTCCATTTTATAAATTTAGCAGATTTAGGGGTAAGAAACACTCAGTATTATAAAATCAAGTTCACCACTCTAATGTTTAATTAATTTTTATCACGTCTGGTTATAAACTACAGTGTTTAATTATTCATTAGTTCATTGCTGTCTACACTATTACACTATTAAATTTTTGCTGTTTTGTTTTACTCCCCACTATTTTTTTGGCTGTTTTAGGTATTTCCACTTTTAAATTTGCCTGCTGTCCATACCATAATAAGCAGATAAATGTAATATATAATCATACATGTATACATTTGTAGTCTAGGAAATTTTGACAATACTGTATGATTATGAACATTATAAAACCCCCACAAACAAAGTTTAGGGAGTACATAGGAGTCAGCTTGTCAGACAGTCCGTCAGTCAGTCCATGTCATTGTTTCAGGAGGAGAACTAGAGATTGGAATGAGGTATTGTAATCAAGCTTGGAATATACCAACCTTATGTGGAAACCCTGGTTGATATTGCATTTGGATCCCTGGAGTCAAGGTCACCATAACTAAAAATAGAAAAATGAGACCCCGGTTGGTAATGCATTGGGATATCCTGGGGTCAAGGTCACCATTACTAAAAATAGACAAATGGTTTCCGGACAATAGAAAGTATAGTTAGGAATGAGATATTGTAATCAAACTTGGTGTATAGCAAGCTTATATGAAGACCCCGGTTGGTATTGCAATTAATTGAAATAATTCTTTGTACACAGTTGATACTTCATTTATTATAGGTTGAGTTCAAATTTTTCTTCAGACCACTTATTTTTTAAAAAGTCAAAGTTGCTGGTGGGGGTATTGATCACCTTCAGTGATAGCTGCAGTTATTTGTTTTATATTATTTCTTGTCTATGTCTGCCATTAGAAGAGATGTCTCAAATTTCTATAAAGAATTTAGAAAGGTGGTCTGAAAAGTGACATTTCTAAAAGAGAAACATTATCAAATAAAAAAATATTTTTTCTTCAAGTGGATTATATCTGAACAATACCCTTTGTGATTTATTCAGTGTTGTCATACTGGTGTTATTATGCCCCCATTTCGAAGAAAAGGGGGTATATTGCTTTGCACTTGTCGGTCCGTCGGTCCGTAGACCAAATGGTTTCCGAGTGATAACTAAAGAACCCTTAGGCCTAGGAACTTCAAACTTGGTATGGTGATTGGTCATGACCAGCAGATGACCCCTATTGATTTTGGGGTCAAGGGGTCAAAGGTCAAGGTCACATTGACCTTGTAAGCAAAAACGGTTTCCGATCAATAACTAAAGAACCTTAAGGCCTAGGAACTTCAAACTTGATATGGTGATTGGTCATGATCAGTAGATGATCCCTATTGATTTTGGGGTCGAGGGGTCAAAGGTCAAGGTCACATTGACCTTGTAAGCAAAAACGGTTTCCGATCAATAACTAAAGAACCTTAAGGCCTAGGAACTTCAAACTTGATATGGTGATTGGTCATGATCAGTAGATGATCCCTATTGATTTTGGGGTCGAGGGGTCAAAGGTCAAGGTCACATTGACCTTGTAAGCAAAAACGGTTTGCGATCAATAACTAAAGAACCTTAAGGCCTAGGAACTTCAAACTTGATAGGGTGATTGGTCATGATCAGAAGATGATCCCTATTGATTTTGGGGTCAAGGGGTCAAAGGTCAAGGTCACATTGACCTTGTCAGCAAAAACGGTTTCCAATCAATAACTAAAGAACTTTAAGGCCTAGGAACTTCAAACTTGGTATGGTGATTGGTCATGATCAGTAGATGACCCCTATTGATTTTGGGGTCAAGGGTCAAAGGTCAAGGTCACATTGACCTTGTAAGCAATAACGGTTTGCGATCAATAACTAAAGAACTTTAAGGCCTAGGAACTTCAAACTTGGTATGGTGATTGGTCATGATCAGAAGATGACCCCTATTGATTTTAGGGTCAAGGGGTCAAAGGTCAAGGTCACATTGACCTCTTGGGTAAAAACGGTTTCTGATCAATAACAAAAGAACCCTTAGGCCTAGGAACTTCAAACTTGGTATGGTGATTGGTCATGACCAGCAGATGACCCCTATTGATTTTGGGGTTAAGGGGTCAAAGGTCAAGGTCACATTGACCTCTTAGGTAAAAACGGTTTCCGATCAATAACTAAAGAACCCTTAGGCCTAGGAACTTCAAACTTGATATGGTGATTAATCATGATCAGTAGATGATCCCTATTGATTTTGGGGTCGAGGGGTCAAAGGTCAAGGTCACATTGACCTTGTAAGCAAAAACGGTTTCCGATCAATAACTAAAGAACCTTAAGGCCTAGGATCTTCAAACTTGATATGGTGATTGGTCATGATCAGAAGATGATCCCTATTGATTTTGGGGTCAAGGGGTCAAAGGTCAAGGTCACATTGACCTTGTAAGCAAAAACGGTTTCCGATCAATAACTAAAGAACTTTAAGGCCTAGGAACTTCAAACTTGGTATGGTGATTGGTCATGATCAGTAGATGACCCCTATTGATTTTGGGGTCAAGGGGTCAAAGGTCAAGGTCACATTGACCTTGTAAGCAATAACGGTTTCCGATCAATAACTAAAGAACTTTAAGGCCTAGGAACTTCAAACTTGGTATGGTGATTGGTCATGATCAGTAGATGACCCCTATTGATTTTAGGGTCAAGGGGTCAAAGGTCAAGGTCACATTGACCTCTTGGGTAAAAACGGTTTCTGATCAATAACAAAAGAACCCTTAGGCCTAGGAACTTCAAACTTGGTATAATGATTGGTCATGACCAGCAGATGACCCCTATTGATTTTGGGGTTAAGGGGTCAAAGGTCAAAGTCACATTGACCTCTTAGGTAAAAACGGTTTCCGATCAATAACTAAAGAACCCTTAGGCCTAGGAACTTCAAACTTGGTATGATTATTGGTCATGACCAGTAGATGACCCCTATTGATATTGGGGTTAAGGGGTCAAAGGTCAAGGTCACATTGGCCTTGTAGGTAAAAATGCTTTCAAATCAATAACTTAAGAACCCTTTGGCCTAGGAACTTCAAACATGGTATGGTGATTGGTCATGACCAGCAGATGACCTATTGATTTTGGGGTCAAGGGGTCAAAGGTCAAGGTCACATTGACCTCTTAGGTAAAAACGGTTTCCGATCAATAACTAAAGAACCCTTAGGCCTAGGAACTTCAAACTTTGTATGATGATTGGTCGTGACCAGCAGATGACCCCTATTGAGTTTTGGGTCAAGGGGTCAAAGGTTAAGGTCATGACCAGTAGATACTTGATAACCCTTATTAATTGTTTGATCACTGGGTCAGAAGTCATAATAACCTTATCACATGACTAATTGTCTGCTGATAGGGGGCATACATGTTTTACAAACATATCTTGTTTGAAATGAAGACCCACTTTAATCATACCAAGGAGGTATATAAGGAAGTGGAACTATATTTAGGATATATCTGGTTTTTATTATTATTATTATATATATATATATATATATATATATATATATATATATATATATATATATATATATATATATATATATATATATATATATATATGAGCCATGCCACAACAAAACCAACATAATGGGTTCGCAACCAGCATGGATCCAGACCAGCCTGCGCATCCGCACAGTCTGATCAGGATCCATGCTGTTCGATTACAAACCGTATTACAAGTAGAGAAACTGATAGCGAACAGCATGGATCCTAATCAGACTGCGCGGATGCGCAGGCTGGTATGGATCCATGCTGGTCGCAAACCCATTATGTTGGTTTTGTCATGACATGGCTCAATTATATTTGTTATAGTTTTGAGAAAAGGAATGTAATAAACAGTTTACTCATACCTGAAGTATCACCTTGAAGTCCCTGAAGTGAAGCAAAATTGATATCAGCATGACATAATATTGATTCCTGGAGAGAAAAAATTTGTTTTTAACAAAACTAGAACGATTGAGGAAGTGGAAAGACAAAAACACGATGTTTTGTTTATTCATAAAATGTGCTTGCACTCAGTTACTACAGGGAAATTAATATTTACTGTATTTGTTTATTGTTATTTTTATACAGCTCACTGAACAATTTCTGCACTTAGTCACCGTGGCTCAGAGTATCGATGTGATAGTGTGATATTACTATTTAGTTGGATTTTAACTTTGTGATTGTTCACTTATGTGTTCTGCTGAACAGTTTTAGTAATAATACATTTTATTATGATATGAAACATTTTTTTGGTGCTTTTTTTGTCAATTTTCGTTACTTGCAGAATATAAAGCAGCGTTTTTTTCTCTACTTTGGGAATGGTGCCGGTACCAGACTGATTGGGAAAAATGCATTTTTTTGACTAAAATTGGGAATTTTTTTAATGCATTTTTTCAGCTACAAATGAGATTAGACATCATGAATAAAGATAGCTAACAGCTTCTACTGTCCAGATAGAACTATTGAGTGGTGATTTATATGAATATGTTGGATTTAAATGATTTTAGAAAAATCACTTGGCCTTGTGGGCATTTTAAACAGCCATTTTGGGAATTTAACATTTGAAATTGGGAATTTTAATGTCTATTTTCTATTGGGGCTGGTACCGTTTTAGGGTAGTAGTTGTATAAAGAAAAAAAAAACACTGTACAGAATATGAAAATTAAATAAGGGAACTCTAGACATTGGTGGATAATTTCATCACCTTTATGTTGAAATTTCTCCTTGTCATCATTTTTTATAATGATTTTATTTTCAATGCTACAAAGTTTGATGAAAATTTATATCAGGATTAAATTAGGATGAGGTAGCTGTTTTTTCTACTTCTATATGGATAAGATTGTTTAAACTTTACTATTGGAAATTCTCAGAGAGTGTTATGGCATTGCATTGACTATTTTTTCTTACCAACCTTTATCAAAGTGGTCAATTTAATTAGGATACATTAAGAAGAATTTAATAACACAGCAAGGACCTTTTAGCAAGGTTGATTCCTTTGCCGTGCTAAATTTATTTCAAATACCTTCATTGCAGGTACTTAGATAATTCCTGCTTCAAACAATGACCCAGCTTCTTTCAGACATTATGAAACCACATTATAGAATAGTTATTCTTAATTTTGAATTTGATATACATGTACTTTAATATTGACTTGTGTTTTCTTTTCTCATTTCAGATATTGTAACTATGGGCTGCTACCTAGCAAAGAACCTGCCTCGTGATCAAAATGGTAGGATTTTCAGAGTGTACAATGTAAACGATCTTGGTGCGGAGATAAGTCCAGGAAAAATAGAGGTCACAGAAAATGATCTGATATTTTATCAGAAAGGTAAAGAGCCAATCAGATGGCCTTTAAGATGTTTAAGAAGATATGGGTTTGACGAGGAGCTGTTTTCATTTGAGAGCGGGCGTCGTTGTCCTACTGGGTCGGGTATATATGCTTTTAAATGTCACAGAGCAGAAGAATTATTTAATCTAGTCCAGGAGGCAATACAGAATGTTGGTCAGAACGCACATCAAAATTCTCATCTCAGGGCTAGTCAGACAATGGTTAATGGTACATCAGTCATCAATCCTCGTCCTGCTAGCCGTCCTACGTCACTAGTCGATCCTCATGAACCTGGCGGTATTAGACTATCAGGAGCAGGGCGTGTTAATGTTGTTCCATATGATCAACATTTATACATGAATCAAAATGGCAGTGCAATACAGCAAGAAGATTCTTCGCCAAATTACATTAACACAGGCCCAAATCAGAATGGATCAAGAATTGAGCCAATTGATGAGGTTAGTGCTTTGATAGACTTTTTACATGATCCACCGATGGCTCCTGCTCCTCCTAAACCAGACACTGTTAATTATGCTGACCTTGACCTTCCAAGGTCAACAGAGAATATATTTGATGCGTGTGATGGAGCATGTGCTATGGAGCCGTTAAGTAATGGTAGTGTTGTAAATGCAGATAACAGAGACAGCTACACTGGTTCAGACAGTCAGAATGGTATAGATATGGATGATGTGCAATTGAATTATGCGGACCTTGATGTATTTACAGAAACAGCAGAGGAGAGCGCCCATCCGAACTATATTAACCTTGATGCTGAAGGTAGAATCAAGGATAAAGTGCTTGCAAATGGGAGACCGGAATCTATTTCTGTGAATGGTGCTATGCAAAATGAGACAATAAGGAAAAGTTTGTTGGTTCGTAAGCTCAGTATTGAACAGAATTACGCAAACGTGGGTGCTGCAAGTTTTACAAATATCCCTGACCCAAGCCCTGTAAGTATGAATCCAGCCGGTGGATTTGGTTCAAATAATGGCAATAATTCCAGTCAGCGGTTGTCAAACCCTGGAGAACTGAACTATATTGAGATTGATGTGAACAAAACAGACGGGGATGTTGTGACAGGAGCAACATCTTCAGCTATGTCTGTTTCATTTACTGTACCTGACTCGCCAAGTAAGCGTACAGAAAGTTATGCCATGATTGACTTTAATCGTACTGTGGCTTTGTCTAATTCAGCAAAGCCTGTCGGTGAAAATGAGGAGGGGTTGAGGAAGACACGTCACAACAGTACGATCAACTGAGGTTGTGTAACAGATATAGGCGTCTTTCTAGAAATGAAGTATTATATTTTACTGTATATTTGTTCACTTGTTTTTAGTTCTTGTATATACTCTTGCTTCTTAATAAGGGGTAATTTCTTTTTATTATTAAGGTGGTCAGTCATGCATGAAATATGATACTGAAAAATGGTAGATTTAAGTGACCGATATTTCCTGTTTTATTGTTTAAAGCTTGAGATAAGTACCTCCCATCTTTATTGATTTTACATGTCCTGACTTCTAGGCCTAAAATAATAAAATATTCACTTCCCCTTCTGCTACCTCTCTACAAAAATCACTGCTGCCTGGAATATTTTCTTGCCAAACAAAAGAAATGTTTTCACTTAACATGGGATTGAAGTCTGTCAATGAGAATTATATCTTTTTATATTTGTTTGATTCCCATATTTTGATTAACTTTATTTGTCAGTTATATCATATATATGTGCTAAAGCTGAATACACTGATGCAGTAATAATATAAATACCGTATAAGTGTTTTTTTTCTGCGGGCTCCAAATTCTGCGCTTTTTCCAAATTTTGGCATGTTGTTATTTCTGCGGACCTTATTTCTGCGGCACAGTCTTTAGACAAAATGTGATTTAAATTCTGCGGCTTTTCTTATAAAAGTCTAAGTCACATTACTCTACCTATTTTATTTCCATATACACATTTGTATGAAAATTTTGTTTATGGTCGTCACCACTAAACTATATAGTAAATACAAACATTTATATTGTTTGCTTGCAAACAAATAGAATGTGCAACAATAGACAGCATGCATCTTTTGATTGGCGTGAAATGACGTGTGAAAAATATACCCCGGTAGTATCTTTAATTTAATAAAATTGATAGAAGTTTTATCGTAAATCAGACAACAATAAATGTATACGATGATAATTTGGCAGTATAGGGGTTAAAATAGTTTTAATGATTAACAAACCTTTTTAGCGTACAGGCAAACACTATAATGTTTAGATATCTTTATTCAAAAACTGACATTAGTCATTATTAACAACAAGCACATATTACATACTTAGCCGAAAGCAATTTAATATAACTCGATGACCTGCTAACCGTTATAATAAAAAATAGAGATGATAAAATTTATGCTGACTTACATCAAGCTAAGAAGTAAATTTAATGATGTATGTTTATTTGGCATGACAATGATCTTGCACCTTGTGATGTGTAAGCCTTCTTTTCTTATTTTGTGTATATATTGCATTATTATGCACCTTGACCACCCTATTTGAATATTTTTAATAGGGGAAGTAATGTTAAGTGTTTTTAAGAATTTACATAAAATACTCGCAGCAATAAGGCAAGACACGGGAGACCTACCTCCATATACTCTAAGCAATATATATACATATACTCAGTGAGCTATGACTGTTGTAGCAAATTATCAGTGTCCATTGTATAAAAAAAAGATACATTATGCCAAAAATAATATCTTGTTTTTGTTTGTCTGCTTTCAATTTTGTCAACTTTTATTTTGTAACATTATATATAAGACAAAAAAATTAGCAGCTTGCAATAGAGTTAGATGTGTAGGGTGGTCTCCCTTCATATTGTATAGACTAGCTGATATCTCAAACTGTTCATGTGCTTAAATAATGAAAAGTTCTGGTAAATAAATCAGCACATTTTATTTTGTTACATTATCAAATAGATTTATTTAAAGCTGTTCAATCAACATAAAAATTTTGTTGTGCTCATATTATTGAAAAGTAATACATGTATATAAATAATGTGTAATAAATTTACTGAACGGAATTAAATTTTACATTCATTTAAATGATATATATTTTCTTTGACTACAATACAAAAAGCATTTTGTTCAAGTAATGTTTATATTAAAATTTTCAGGGGAAATGTGTTCTAGATTGTTATGGCAGAATATTTTACCTTTTTACAATATTTTGTTGGCAAAAAATTTAATGGCATATGCAGTCTGTAAATTTACATGCTAGCCCATGGCTAGTTGAATTTTAGTAAGGCTTGTAAACATTACCAAGTCACTAGCTAGACTGTTTTGAGAAAAAATAGCAGGCAATCAACTTATTTTCTAATAATGACATACAATAATTTAAAATGGAACAACTTACTTATCATTGATCAAGGTAATAAAATTACAGAATAACTGTGTTAAAGGGAATCAACTTAGATTTTTTGACATGATTGGATTGTAAACATTTTTACAAGATTAATGTTCTGCTTGATGTAGGTTTCAAGCAATAATTATTGTGTGCAAAATTTCAAATCATTCACTTGCTTTGTTAATCCATGATAATATTTTAATTGTGAAAAATGATTCAAAATTGAAAAATGTTGCAACACTTGTCACTCAAATTGGGCTATGAATTGCACAAAAATAAGATTTTCAATTTATTTCTGAATATTTTACTTAATTATCTTTCGCTTATTTTTCTGTTTTTAGTGACCTAGTTGATCTATGTTAGAATTCAAATTTTTTGTTTAGGCTTTAAATCTCAGTGGAGTTCCTTGAATAATATATTCTTGCCTTAACATTCCATTTCAATAAACAGTTTTCGGATCATATGAACTTTTTTGGGGTTAGTAGATATTGCCATTCAACACTATCGGGAATAGCTTGTGGTTTTCTGGTCCTACCAGTTAATTCTTGGACTGCTTTGTCTGTATTTAAGGGAAAGTTTTGCATGTTATTTAACCATCATATATGGTTATAGAAAAATCAAGGTTATTGATATTGATATGTGAGTATTGAAATAGAATTTTTAAGGAAATTACGACAATTTGTTTCTTTACATTTATTATTTGTGTAGTTGAATAATGACTGATTATCTATGTTTTGTGTATTTTAGTGGGATAGCAATAGTGTTGGATAATGTCCTAATTGTAATTTTAAATTTTCATTGTAAATTTGATTCTTGGATTTTCATAGGCTTAAAAGAAAAGGAGTGTCTAAGAGTTAATTGTTATTTTTGTGCTATTTAGTTATAATTTAGTACATTTTGGATGATGTATTTTTATCTGGTGTAAATATATGAATCAAGGTAATGATGGCAAGTGAAAATGGCATTTAATTTTTGATATTACAAGATCTCATGTCCATGGAAACAAAAATATCTTGGTGTTAAAAAAACATAAAGGAAAATGCTCACAATTTTTGTGAATTACTGCTGTGAAACAGTTATAATTATATGGTACTGATAGAATATTAGATATGTATTAATTGTCTGCCTTTAAGTGTATAGATTAATAACAAATTTGTGTATTATTGTGATTAAATATTAATGAACAACTTCATTGGAAACACAAATATTTATCATTTATAATATTGTAGACCTGCATTTTATTGCTCAAGTGAATTTTGGGATAGATTTTTACATGACCATCAAACAACATTAAAATATACATGTACCTGCAATTTGCCTTTATCTTATTAGACTAAGATCTATCTCAAATTTTTGGAAGATTTTCAGACAAGAAATAAAGTATTTGTAGTACTGGAATGTTGCTTGTAGATTGAGCTATATGAAAGTGTACTCATGCTTGACAATTGTAGGAAAATGCAGTGACTTTTCTACAAAATTTCCGCATTTTTAAGAAAAAATCTTTCATGGATTCCAATGAAATGATTGATTTTTATTGAAAAATCATGCATTATACACAACAAATGATAAACAAGCAAGTATATATAACCTGCTTACATTTACCTATTTGTTAATCAATAGTTATGATTTAGCTGTTTTTGATTTTTGGAAGAGCACCTAGTGGAGTAACTTCCCAAATGTAATTTACTGTAAGATAATGGCCCCTATTAGAATAATTTGGAGGAAAAGTTCAACTTCCATAAATTTTTAATATAATGTAAATATAGGTACAAATAAAATTGTATTTTATGCTAGATTTAATTTACTCACATCTTTAATTATGTTTACTAATTTTGTCTGTATTCATACTGTGCAATAAATGATGTTTTACAGTGCTGGGCAGTTTTTTAAATCGTGTACAAATACTGTGTTCATATTTCTATTTTACTTACAGACAATATACTTGATTGACTAGTTGTGGTTATATTTCTGTAACTTTAATATTTTGTTGCAAGTTATGTTTAGCTTAATGAATGTACATTACTGGTTTATGTCAAAAGTGATGTTTGAAAATTGTTACCTTTATGGTCATTCATTTATAGTGTGTATCTTGGAAAAGTGTGAACTCTGAAATAGTTTGAAAACTGGACTTTTGAATGAGAAAAGCATGCTTAAACATGAAATGTTGAGAAAAAAGCATGGGATAGTGAGTATCCAACTGTATATCAGTGTGTATGGTGAGTATCTCAGTGTGAACAGTTAGTTTCTCATTATGGGCAGTAAGTACTTGTATCTCAATGTAGGCAATGAGTATCTCAGTGTGAATAGTGAGTATTTTGGTGTGTTTTCTGAGATTTTGCAGTGTGTTTACTGATTGTCTCAATGTGAACAGTGAGTATCTCAGTGTGAATAGTGAGTATCTCAGTGTGAACAGTGAGCATCTCAGTGTGAACAGTGAGTATCTCAGTGTGAACAGTGAGTATCTCAGTATGAACAGTGAGTATCTCAGTGTGAACAGTGAGTATCTCAGTGTGAACAGTGAGTATCTCAGTGTGAATAGTGAGTATCTCAGTGTGAACAGTGAGTATCTCAGTGTGAATAGTGAGCATCTCAGTGTGAACAGTGAGCAACTCATTGTGAACAGTGAGCATCTCAGTGTGAACAATGAGTATCTCATTGTGAACTGTGAGTATGTCAGTGTGAACGGTGAGTATCTCATTGTAAACAGTGAGTTTATCAGTGTGAAAAGTAGATATCTCAGTGTGAACAGTGAGTATTTCAGTGTGAAAAGTAAATATCTCAGTGTGAACAGTGAGTATCTCATTGTGAACAGTGAGTATATCAGTGTGAACAGTGAGTATTTCAGTGTGAACAGTGAGTATCTCAGTATAAGCAGTGATTATCTATGTGTGAACAGTGAGAATCTGATTGTGAACAGTGAGTATATCAGTATAAGCAGTGAGTATCTCTGTGTGAACAGTGAGAATCTTATTGTGAACAGTGAGTATATCAGTATATGCAGTGAGTATTTCAGTGTGAACAGTGAGAATCTCATTGTGAACAGTGAGTATCTCAGTGGGAAGTATGTAGCTCAGTGGACTGACTGTATCACACAAGCATGTGACCTAAGGTTTAAATGAAATTAATTTTTATGTGAACAGTCATTACATAAAGGGTTTGAATGATGTGTTTATTGTTCTATATTAAGAAAGAGAGATAAATATAATTATAGTGTGATTATTTTTGTGTAAGTTTTCTTATGTATATAATCATGAATAAAGTCTACAAATTTTATTGAAATAGTTTATAACTTGTGGAAACAGATGAATTATGTCATGAATATTTACTATATTTGTTTTTGTTTCTTTAGCCAGTAGTGTTATATAAGTTGTGTAAATTTTGTATGTATAAAGTGCAGCTCTTTAAAAACAGAAAAATATTCATATTTTATGTACATTGTTTTTAATTTATGTTCACCCAGTTCATTGGCATTCATCTTGGAAACCTTTAAAGCTGGAAAGCTGTAATTGAATAGATTTTCCATTTGTTTTCTAATGTATTCTTTTAGCAACTTCTGGACTGTCATGCAATTTATTATGAATGTATTCATTGTTTGTCAATGTTGAATTATTGCCACCAGTATGATTATTAAGTCAGTATTATATATCATTACATTATAATCGCATACTGGAACTAATGTATAGATACTGATCATATTTCTGACACATATGAACCAGTAACTGTTCACTTGTTACATTATACTGCCTTGAATAAGTTCGGTGTATAGAGAGAATTATTTAAGTATGATAAGAAACTTCAAATGTTGTAACAATTTGACATTTGTTTCATGTGAATGATTGAAGCATGTGAATTATTGAAGTGCTTGAATAAATTATCCTTGGTGCCCTGTTATCATTACCACCCTTGATATATTGCAATATTTGTTTGATTCTTTAAGTCTCGTGAGAATTTTTTTGTATGCACTAACAGTAACATTCCAGCAATGTCCCTAAAGTTACATGGTTATATACAACAATGTTAGGTTATAAACAACAATGTTGAGACTGAAATTGCCAAAAATCGAAGTAACTGATTTAAGACAGGAACCTTTTATTATGCCTTAAGTACCTTTAGACTTACATAAGAAATTCTATATGGGTGATTGGAAAGGAAAATAATAAGTAATGACCATTAGTTTTATTAACAATTTTTTTTTTTCAACTTCAAAGGCTTATGGTTATGATACATGATGCTTCAAAAATAACCTCAACTATATTTCAAACTTTATTTTAAAACCCGATTCTCTTACTCACCCTTCCTACCAGCTTATGGGAAGTCAGGGGTTCTACTTTGGTGCCTGGTTATGCCCGAAATGAGGCATGAATGGAGCATCTAAGGGATTCCTACAATATAAGTGCTGGAATTCACTACAATATAAATGCTGGAATTCACTACACTATTAGTGCTGGAATTCACTACACTATTAGTGCTGGAATTCACTACACTATTAGTGCTGTAATTCACTACACTATTAGTGCTGTAATTCACTACACTATTAGTGCTGCAATTCACTACACTACATGTCTCTTTACTTAAAACCCAACCCCACAAAAATTATAATCTTGTTTGCTTAGATTGATATTTTGAGGTATGAAAATAATTAATTTATAATATATTATATGTATATTTGACAAACTGTTTTTTTCTTTAGAGTGTTTCTTATCGAAGGTGGTCTACATTTTTAGTGTTCTTAAGTGACCAAATACAGATTCAGAGTTGTGTCCATTTTAAGTAAGTTTAAAGTGCATACATTTAAATTTAGAGACAAGTTTTGTTGAATGTTTAGTAATGGATTGAAATAATAGACTGACATAAAGTAATGACTTAGGGGTGTTTTTTAGTCCCCTACTGGTTGTCCCCTACCGGTTTACCGGAGGGGACTTTAGGTTTACCCTCCGTCCGTCTGTCCGTCCGTCCATCAGTCCGTCCGTCCACAAAACTGGATCCCGCGATAACGCAAAAAGTACTGAAAATATTTTAATGAAACTTGATATATGGATAGATGGCAGTATGGAGATTATGCACGTCTTTTTCTTTTCTTCCTATGTTGAAAATTCTGGTTGCTATGGCAACAAATAGACTGAAAATATGGCAAATTTTACACATAACCTGGATCCCGCGATAACGCAAAAAGTACTGAAAATATTTTTATGAAACTTGATATATGGATAGATGGCAGTATGGAGATTATGCACGTCTTTTTCTTTTCTTCCTATGTTGAAAATTCTGGTTGCTATGGCAACAAATAGACTGAAAATATGGCAAATTTTACACATAATCTGGATCCAGTGATAACACAAAAAGTACTGAAAAATATTTTTATGAAACTTGACATATGGGTAGATGGCAGTATGGAAATTATGCACATCCTTTTTTATCTTCCTATGTTGAAAATTCTGGTTGCTATGGCAACAAATAGACTGAATTTCAAGATTTCTGATTCTAGTTTTTAAGTTTTTTCACTATAAGTTCTTTATTTCTTAAGGTATTTTCTTCAAACTTTAAATATAAGTTGCTTGTCATCAACCACATCATATGTGACAAGGTTTACAACTCTAGCACAAAATTTATCAGAATTACCTCCCTTGAACTTAAAATTTTCATGAAAAAAACATTGTTTTTTTTAATAACTTCTTTTTCTGAATGTATCTACTTCATATAAATGTTTCTTATTGTCACTCAACATTTGTGAGTGTTCAATACTCTAGCAAAACTATTTCCAGAATTATGCCCCTTTTGAACTTAGACTTTTTTTTGAGAAATTGGTAATTTTTACTCCAACTTCTTCAATCATGATAGGATTTTAAAAATGTTATATTTTGATAACAGGGATGTTTAAAAAATAACTTCAGAGTGTCCTTCAGTATGTCTGTCTGTACATAAAAACTGTTTCCTGTGATCACTTTTAAAGAACTTTTTCAACAAATTTACTTAAAATAGGAACCTAAGTGAATGGCCAATGGCCCTTCATAATGTTGCTTGGGCTCTTACCGGTAGGGGACTTATGGATTGCTTGCAATACTATGATAATTGCTTGTTTTTCCATTAGAATGGGTGTTGGAGACCTGATGATAATCTTGAAAGAATAAGTTGTTATTTAAGGTTGTGTTAATGAAAGGGCAATTCTTTTATTAGATATAGGAGTCTTTGTTATTTATGTTACCTAAATTTCAGGTTAACTTTCTTAAAAAATTGATTTTTGTTTTTATTTGAATCTAAAAATGTTGTGAAAAGATTGGTTGTGTACAATAAATTTTGTTACATATTCATTTTATTTTATTGATTTTAGACTTTGTTATATTTTAGTATAAGATATGATAAGCTGCTTGTCATTTTATTGAGAAAATGTTTAATATATAATTTGGTTATATAATTTCATTGTATAATACATAATTGCTTTCCTCTGATTGTCATGTATTATAGGTTTGATGCAAGATGAATGTATTTTACCTATGTGAAATACTAAAGTTACAGTCATGTTGCATGAAACCCTTTGGTATTGTTTAGTTAAGTATTAATTTCTAATGTGATTGTACATGTATATAATTATATAGGACTGTATAAAATGTGCTAACAAAAGGGATCTCCATTTTTACATATAAATGAGAAACAAAACATAACATGTAGAAAAATTGTATATATCCAGGGCTGGAATCTAACAGTTGCAGAAGGCAAGATAAAAAGGAAAAATTCCAGTAGTTTCTCCTATGTAAAGAAGAAATATCAATATACATAAATTGATGTTTATATCATAAATAGTAAAAAAGACAATGGTGATGCATATTAGATTTCAAAAACAAATATATAAACTTTGTATACAAGTTCATTAACCATATATTTATGATTTGTTGTGGAAAAAAGTGCCAGTTTATTTTGTCTTTTGCGAGTCAAAATCTGAACTTCATTGCTGTAACACGGGTATTTTTTTGTAATGCACATCTAGTTTATTTTCCAACAAATAATGCACAAGGAGCACTAGAGGGTTCATGTATCAGTAAAGCTAGAAAATCACCATATGACCATTATACAGTATTGGTGTAACATAAAACCCATCTGAAATAAAATAAGTAAAAATAAACAGTGTATAAAACTTATCAACTGATGAAACAATTTTTTGTTTTAAATTGTATATGCACGTAAAGTTAAATTCTAGCCCTGGTTCCCAATAATATAGAAATAGGTTTATTACATATTAATTCTTGAACTTGATATTAACTGTAAAAGCTAAATTTGTTTATTTCATGCTTTCCAGTGTTTTATTGTAATATATCAGATGATTATATTCTGATAAACCACTAGTGAAATTTATAAAATATAATTTTCACTGTAGCCGGACTATATCTGAATGCGGATGAAAAGAAAATCAAAACTGAATGGAATAACAGGCAAAAATAAATGCCGTCATGCGTAAATTTTGCTTCTTTCGGAAAAGAAAGTCGATGTCACCATACATTATGCTAAAAATGTAACAAAATTAGAGAAATTTAACAGAACTATATTTCAAATTTGTTGATGTGACGTCATGATGTGATGACGTCACGAAGGAGAATGCGCGACGTTACGCGGCAAAATCAGTACAAAATACTTAAAATCACTTAAAAAGTATGAAATAAAAAGAAAATTTATTTGTTTTACATATAAGATAGAAATATATTTCATTCATGAACACCAGCTATGCTATGCCACTCGTGAAAATATTGCATCTGGTGTTCACTCAGTGAAATTATATTTCAATCTTACATGCAAAACAAACAAATATCCTCTATTTAGTATATATTTTTTGTTTATTATACATTTATAATTTATGTCAGTGGTTTGGTCAGATGTATTCCTACACACTACATGTTCTAAAATTTTATAAGTGACATATATTGCATTTTGTTCATAATTTTAGACATCAAGTGTAAAAAAATCAGATATTTTGTTCAGAATTTTGTGATAGATTTGAAGGACATTTTTGACATCACTAAATGTATATACAGAGATTCTTGTCAAAGTTTGAAATAATGAATTATACATGTATTTACTTTTCTTGAGGCAATATTAAGCATGTAATAATTCCCAATACTCTACCTAGTAAAGCAATCTTATTTGCTTTTCACTGGATTCGTAATAAAAATGTTCTGATTTTAAATTAATTGTCTAAAAGTTCCTGCTTGTGTGACAAAATAATGAATATGAATGTCCAACTGAACAATCTAATAGTTAATATAATCTTGTATATGTTCTGAATTGGTGTACATTTTGTAAAAATAATAAATATTGTACAAACATAGGCATATTAACTTCTATTTATAGATGATTGGTTACTTATACACAACTTTACTAAAGGCCACAAGCCTGAAACTGTATGAAATACTGTTGGAATTGTGTGCCTTTTTTAATGTCAAACAAGGCAGATTCTTTTAATATTAATCTTTAGTCATCTGTTACAACAAAAACTTTATTCCTTGTAAGTAACTTGGGTTACAATAGTTTTTATTTTGTAAGTTTATGCTGTTACCACACATTTTAGACTTATGTTGGTTTTACACAAATAGCTTTTAGCTTTTTAGGCAGTGTATATTTTATTTCCATGATTTCAGGCATTTTATTTTTGTTCAATATTTTTGAATAACTTTTGAATAACGTGCAATATGACCCTGGTCATCTATAACTGGTGAACAAAATGTATAAAACATGTATAATGTCGGCTCTACAAATCACCTGTATCTCTCGTGAAGGATATCAGTGTAATAAATGTAAAATGTGTGCAGTGTTCTTGTTTATTTATTGTACCTTGATTGTTAATAAAGCTGGTAACATTTTTGAACGACTCTCCAGACAGCTCACTGGAACTTTCTTGAACTAATCAGTACTGCTGTCATATGAAACATGGTCATGACCCCACTAGGGCTCAAACCAATTATCCGTGTATTAAGAGGAAGAAACCTTAACCTTTCAGCCACTGCTGCCTTGGTGTTCTTTAAAGTTTCCATGGTTATAGGTTGCTGATAAGCTTCATTATACTCTATGTTGATGCAGTGTTGCATGTAGTACTTGGTACCTCTACGTATTACTCTGTATACATTATAGTCCACTAATATTGATGCATTGCTAAGTGCAGGACCAGGTACCTCTACATTTTACTTAAGTACCTGGTACCTCTACATTCTACTTAATACCTGGTACCTCTACATTTAACTCAAGGAACTGGTACCTCTACTCAAGTACCAGGTACCTATATATTTTACTCAGTATACATAATAGTAAATTAATGTTGACGCATTACTAAGTGCAGTACCTGGTACCTCTGCATTTTACTTCAGTCCCTGGTACCTCTACATTTCACTTCAGTACCTGGTACCTGTGCATTTTACTTCAGTACCTGGTACCTCTGCATTTTACTTCAGTCCCTGGTACCTCTACATTTCACTTCAGTACCTGGTACCTGTGCATTTTACTTCAGTACCTGGTACCTCTACATTTTACTCAAGTACCTGGTACCTCTACCTTTTACTCCGGAGAAGGGTGGAGACTATCATCCCGGCATGTGGCGGTTACAAACGTTATTACAAGGTTTTCTTAATGTCAATTTAGGTTACGTAATCGTCAAAATTTAACAAAAAATATCCACCAGTAAACGTTCCAACATCATACTTATAAACACTTACATTTTGGTAAAAAAAACACATTTGCTTATGGTTAAGAATAAACTTAACTCATAAATTTACTGGTTTATGAATGCTAAATTGGTTATTTACAAGTTACTATTACAATTGCTATTTCTTAGCTCAATTAAGACGTCATCTCATGACAGTGCTTTCAATCACAACCAATTTTAAATTTTCCGGGGTGTGCTTAACTTATTTCCAGGGGAAAGATTAGAACCGAAAAAACATCTTGTTTCCGCTATTAAAAATATGAAAAAATATTTAAACCCTAAGCATTTGGGTATTAGTGACATATAATATTCATGAACCCTTGGAGGTTCCTATTTTATTAACTTTTCTACGACATACTTACAGATTAAGATATATTCACTGATATTTCTGCTTAACAATGGTCAGGGCACTGGCAGGTAGATCTGAAATGAAGGGTGGGGGAGGAGTTGTATTGTTTGTCAATTGTACAGAAAAACAATGTGTTATGTTATTCCGCCTCATGTTCTTATGTTATCAATGGCCGAGTAATAAAAGTGGTGGCTTCGCGACGAGCACGTGCCGAGTGGCCATACGATCTGTATAGTCTATGTAAAATGAGGGTACATCCGCCTATTAAGAGGGTACATCCAACTTTTAAGTCACAAAAATGGCTTTTATTAAAGAGCACAATCGTGCCAGTCATGCTCTTTCAGGTTTAATTTTGAAGCACAAAGTGGTGATACATGTAATTTAATTCCGTGCACATTGCCAAATGAATAAATTTTGAGCCGAAAAGGTTCATTGTACAGCGGTCAGTGCGAACCAAACTGTACAGTAACCTGGGACAATAATGATAAGGTGCGGTAGCCCTGATAAGAGCTATTGTTGCCAGGCACAGAGCCTGCCTTTCAAGCCGTGCTTGACTTCTCTGTATGGCTGCTACCAGGCAGAAGTTTTCGTCGTCCAAAATTCTTCAAATTTTCTTCCGCTGTTGTGTACGATGTGCGTGTACAGAGGAGAAGAGAGGGGGCAGACAGGGCTGCATGCCGTGTTTAATGTACCACTCCTGATGAACATTGATCCGATTATATATTATTGTGCATATAGGTTATAAAAATGGAGTGATACAACAACTTCTCTCTTCCCCTCGGTATCATTGTATCATCAAAAAATCGACTTGCATACATATTTAGTATTATTCAGTGAATTACTTAATTCAAAATTTATAGGTCACCTTTTGGTTGATAGTAAAATTTAAGGACATGAATGGTGGCATGTGCCTGAAAGGGCGGATGGACTCCTCATTAAGTCTGCATGCATGCATTCTTGCCTGCCTGCCTACCTACCTACCTACCTACGAGTACATACATCCCCTCAGTACGTGCACGTCGCTGAAAAGGCACAGGGCACCGGCAGAAGCTTTGAAGATTTTGCGATGGCGGACCCGCTGCGGTTGTCCTAACTAAAGCCGAGAGAAGTGGCCCTGGACGACGAAGAAATTGTGCTAGTGTATGCGTTGCTTGGCACCGAAAGCCCTTTTCAACGTCTCTATCATATTGTCTCAAGTTGCTGTACATTTCTCATTGGCATACTTTTGGCTCAAAATTTCTCTATTTGGTTGATACTCTATATGGAAATTGCACAGAGGTAAATTATTAACACTTTGTGCTTCAAATTTAGCCCTTTAAGGACAGGACTGGTGACATGTACGGGGTCCGTACTCGGCAGCGATGTACACGTGATTTAACAACTGGTCAACATTGAGACCTACAACTGGCACATTTTACATAAGTACTAGTATTTAAGATGTTGATAAAAACAACAGAAATGTATCATTCGGATGTTCTTCTGAAATATTATTTTAAAAAAAATGTTTACAAGGTATCTGTGATTTGAAATGAACATTTATAATTATGTATCATATTTTGTTCTAGAACAATTTTTTATCTACTATATAAATATATATGTCATATCGGATCAGGAATCTCAACTCGGTCCTCTTGGTCCACTCGTCACTCTTTTTTTGGTCAACTCGTCCCTTGGACAACTCGTCCCCTGGTCAACTCGTCCCCAACTCGTCCCTATATTTTATTATTATTTGTTTTTCATTACATTTCATACATTATTATAGACTGTTAAAATAATATATTATAAAATTACTGAATTGGACATATTTTGACGCTTTTTGTATGCGAATATTTGGAGTTTTTTTTATCTAATAATAAGTATATATATGCATAATTCTGATTAAATTACATACAGAAAAAAAAAACCGACACGAAGACAATCAATAGCAATAAGATATAATGTATAATGTATTATATTTATCAGGGCAACTTTTATATTGACAATTTCACAAGAAACAATTATCATATTTTTAATTGACACGATCCTTCTTTAATGAGATAATGAGATATACGCACCAACATAATGTTTTTAGTACTTCTAAATTCTGTTAATCTGTCGTCAGTCTTTAATCCATTCAGGGAGGCGGTAAAAATCAAAGAGTTGGATTAATTATCATTAAAACTCCAATTAATTTAACACTAATTGAATGTTTGCAAACTTACCTGTCTTTGTAGTTTTCATCAAAGCTATGCATGTGCGCTTAGATAAAGATCATTAAAATTTAACGTAAAAAAAAACGCTATTTTATTAATATTTCGATATCAATCAAATTTTACATGAAAGAATTATTTAAAGACATTGATTTACAACATAATAGTGACGAATAGATAGAAAGTAGGAAACGAGTTGACCATAATAGGGACGAGTTGACTCTTTCAGGACGAGTTGACCAAAAGTAGGGGACGAGTTGACCAAAAAGGTGACGAGTTGACCAGGGGACGAGTTGACCAGGGGACGAGTTGACCGGATTGCATAAATATATATGTCATATCGGATCAGGAATCTCACACTTTCCAACAACATCCTGTGGTTTATCATTGAAGGTTCCGTGATAATCGCCGTATGAACACATCTGGGGGATATGTTTCTAACTTTAAAATTACACAATTTTCCCGTTTAAATTATAAAGCTACGGGCACTTCCCAGCACTTTCCATAAACAGACTCACTCTAATATGCAATATTTTCAATTCTGTCGTGTTTTCTCTTTCTATATCTCTATTGTATTGCTATGTCTGCAGACAAATAAATAATTATGAAAAATGACAAAAGAATTATGACTATGGTCATTTGAAGAGTACCGTTTCGGGACACCAAAATTAAAAACTATCTTTGTAAAATGTTAAATACTTAAAAATACATTAAAGAACCAAGTTACATGCGGTATTTAATTTTAAATACCAACACGTGGACGCAGTATGAAACGCACAAATTTCAATTATGCAGGTGTTAATAAAACTATAAATTCCACACGTGACACCTTGATAATCCCATAATAAACCTGGTGACATGTTGAAATAATTAACACGAACAAAGTGACACTTATATTCTATAGCTAGGAATTTTGTCCATCAATTTACACCTACATTTAAAAATCTTCTTGTTTATTTAACAAAACTTACACTCTCAGTTGATGAAATCCGTTTATTTTTGTATTCTTTAAAAAAGCAATAATTGAAATAATGATAACTTTTAAGTTAATCATTGCCCATCAACCATAAAACTGTTTTATTGTAAAATGCTTGGACTCACGGATTTATATTACAATATAAATCCGTGTTGGACTTAAGTAGTAATGAAGTTTTTTCTTCTTTCTTTTCTTGAAAGCTGGCAAAATCATTTGAATTTTATGCGCACCTAATATTAAAACGATAAAAGTTCATTAATTTTTAATATTGTACATGCAAATTCACCAACAGATACATGCATACTCTTTAACATACATAGAACAAACTTAAGTTGATTTAAAATTTAAAAGCATCTAGGCGTTCCTAAAAATATTTCCAATTTTGAAATGGAAACAATGACAATTTGAATATAACAAAATACATTCTGAATTATTTGTGTGGCTGTTAAGTTTGACGGAAATGTCTGAAAAGTTGCGACTGATATAATATGGTATCATCATATAAGTACAAAACTGGAGTGTCATGATTGTACTTTTTTCTAATGAACATAAAACCCAGACAATTAGTATTGGCCTCTTGAACTTCTTGTCTTCCGGACAATATTTGATTTTTTTTTTCAGTTTTATTTCTCTTATCATTTTCATCACCACATATATCCCTTTCATCTTTTAGCTTGTAAATCAAGTGTCATTTAGTTAGGTTGTCCCGAACAAACTTGTAAAATACTTCTTAATTATTTATGACGATTTTTTTTTTGTTAAAAACCTTTGTTATTGAAGACAAGTATGATTTTCTCTAGATAAAGTTTAATTATTCTATATTTTGTGAGATTGTATGTCATAATGTGTTATATAATTTATTGCACTTTGTGAATGCATGGAATATGGACAGTCATTTACCTATATCTTAATAGCACGTATATAAATTGTTACAACATCAAAGCATATTATGATTTTTAATGTTTATTTAATAATTGTACATGTTTGTTGTCAACTGTTTTATGATAGATATTTCATATCTTATACAAAGTTCCGCCGATTATCACACCGCCAGATTCCCGGCATTTTTCTTCACACGTGGAATAAAGGACAGTGACGGGGTGTTAGGTGCGTCATGCGGCTCCCTTTAATATCTATCACATGTTTTTCCACGACAAATAATCTTGTCCATATACTATCTGATTCCCAAGGTGTTGTAACTGTGCTTTGTCATAACAATTAAACATTATACAAAAGTGGCTTCACAATTGCTTAAGGACAAGGATTTGTGTAGGGAATAAATCCTTATATCAAATACGTGCGTTCAAATACAAATATTACATAGTTTGTACAACTCAACATCACTTATCTCTTATTACTATTTCATTGTGTGTAAATATTTGAAATGTTAAGTAATGTTTGTCAAAATCAACAGAGTTAAATGACGAAGTAGATGCACCGTTTTAAGTTCTGAAGATAAATAAAAAAAAGTCAACATTAACAGATGATGAAAAATTGTTACATGCTTTCATTCTAGGGTAACAGTCAGACATTTAATTTCAGTTGTTCTGCTTGAATGTTCTTGGAAATATTTGGCTATGACAGAAAAATATCTCTTAAACACGCAATAAGAACACATTCATTTATTTTCATTTCAACTAAATACATAAATTTAGTCACAAAAATATTGAACTATACAAACTACAGACTGTGTCCGGGTATATTAAGAATAGAGAAATAGACATTATTCATAATTTCTATATTATTTTCTTCCTTTATAGCAATAATGGTTACGTCAATTCAAAAATGATAATGTAAAAAAACAAAAAGCAAAAAACAACAACAAAAACAACAACAAACGGCATAATTATTTAAAGATATATTGACCAGCACATTTAGAGAATATAGCCACACATTTCTATATATATGTCTCTTATTCTCTGCTGAAGAGCTGTTGGCTCACACAGAAGAATTGCTGCGAGATTGAATTTTAAAATTCGGCATTTTATATATCAATCTTACATGACTATTGCGCAGACAAATAATTCAGAGAAGGCCTACAGATTTACTATTGAATTATAATGATGTGATCAAATCAAATGATCTGTTAATATATCTCATTGATTCTTAAAAAAACGTTCTAAGGAAGAAAATAAAGTTGGGACCAAAAAAATATATTTTTGGTCCCAGAATATGCAAGATTACACTGTCTGCCAGGTTGTGAAAATCGATAGATTAAAATTCTTTAAAGTTAAAATATGGAATGGAAAAGTCTTGGTTGAATATTGATAACAATAAAATCATTTATTTTTTAAAAAATATGTGTGAACGACAATTGACTTTTAAAAGGTAAGAAGTGACAATAGCCGATGGCCAATAACAGTTTAGTGTTAAACATTAACTGATAAATGTTTTCTATCATTTATCATTTTATCACCCATTTGTTGACACAGTTGTAGTGACCCTGCTTTAAAGGTTGCCCCCAGCAATGATACAGGATGGTCATCGCATGTGATCAACTAATGATAAAATCTTGTACATTAAATGTTAGACAACAGATCTGCAACACAACGGACCATTGTCCCAGGTTGATTTTGAACATTACAAGCCCCGAAGCCATTTTGATATCGTATTCAACACGAGTCGACTTTATCTTGTCTTTTTAACAATAAGAGTACGTGTATTATTAGAACGAATTGGAATGGATATGTTTTAAAAACACAATTCTTTTTCAACTAGAATCGAAGTTGTGGTTTTCTGCTATATATATTAAATTAGAAAATGTTTTATAGAACAAGTTACATAGTATTCAAAATATATTACAAATTTATTACAAGTTTGTAATGTAAATATATTGAACTGATTAGCATTTTGCATCATTTTGTATGATAATGTACTCTGTCAAAATAAATTTATGTTCTGTTCTTTTGATTCATTATATTTTGGGTCTACCCAAATTACTTAATTAAGTTGATGTGATTCTCTATGTCTCGACATCATATTTAGTATGGAGCTTTATTGTCTCAGGTCTAATTAGATTACCGAGTTTTAAGCTGTAACAATATCTGAAAGTATTGAAAAGATAATCATCTGATTTTTTTTTTTTAAAATATATTGGTCCCTAAAACATACTGTACGCCGTTTCACGTACAATACAGATTGGCCAATTAAACTTTGAAAATCTAGGCCTAACTAATGTACTCAATATTTTGGCAGCCAAGTACTTAATTTATATAGATATATTCTCAATTTAAATAACAGACATGTTGTGTACTGATAAACTTTTTTCTCCGCTTTTTGAATATACCGCTTGATATCGTAAATTTTGACTATTCAAAATATCTTGAAAACCGGCCTAACAAATCTATTTTTAGACATTTCTGATTGCGTTAACCAAACTTTAATCTTTGCAACAAAACTGCATTATAATGGAGAAGAATATGTACACTAAATGCAATTTAAAGATAAAATCTTCATTATCAAACACTCTTATGACAACCAGACCGATCCGGTTTCAACCAGAACTTATTTTACACGCATCATTGCCGAAATTATCGCCTGTGGCGACGCAATTTTGAAACAGACTTTAACCAAATGAAGCGTGAGAAATATTACTCAGTACAAACGAATTTGATTGGTTAAACCGACCACGTGAATAACGGACCCGCCAAATCTGAAAGGCGTGATGGGATTTATTTACGTTTGATCACAGGTGAAATTGTTGGTTATTTTCAAATATTGTGAAGGATTTTAATTACTTTTATGTTGGATTCATTAAGTGTGTGTTGCCAAAATGGCTCTTTGTAAACCTAAGAGTGGATTAAAGCGTAAACCTTTTATGAAAAGGAGAGAGGAGAACTTGATTCGGACTTTAAATTTTCAAGATTCTGATGACGGAAGTGGCCATGATGAAGATTCCGTGTTAGGATCTAGCCCTATGTGTTCACCAGTGCGGAAACATTTGTCAAATAATTATGACGATCAGTCACCAGAATTTCTTGAACTTGATATTCCAGAATGTGCTATGATTTCAAGCCCAAAGGCGTCTAGAAGATTCACAAGGCGGAGGCGATTTTCGCCGACCCCTTTTGGTTTGGACGAAGTTGAGGAGGAAGCACAACAAGTTCCTGGATCGGAGGTTTTGAGTCCAGATGGCGGAGATATGTCGCCACCACACAGAAAATTACGTGCTCTAAGACTATTTGACACACCGCATACACCTAAGTCATTGCTGGAGAAAGCAAGAAAACGAAGACCTACTGGTGATAAACCAAGAATTGCTGTAGATAGACCTCAAGCTAATGTAAACCCTTTTACCCCTAGTCCACAGGGTAACCAGAATGATTCTGGTTACTGTGGGAGTGGGAAGAGAAGTCGTACAGAGTTAGAAAGGTATATTTCACTTAGCATAACATGAAATCAAATCTGGGTCAGGTTGTTAATTGAAAAAGAAATTCATAAAAGGTCCTTCATAAAAAGTGCATAATAAATTTGGCCAATTGTAGTAAGTCATGTAACCCTTTAAATATTTTAAGCATACATATTATCAAACCAGATAGAAAATATGGTTAATTTAAATGTCATAGAGGAGGAATGGTTAGCGCGAAGTTATTATATTATCTAGTTGTCTCGAGGCAATAGAATGTGAGGATTCTAGTACTTTTGCCCCTATTTTTGCGTAGACGGGCATTTGCCCCCTTGTAGCAAGGGTTAAATATTATCAAAATGTTATTACACTGGTGTAGCTGGTATGGTAACACAGTTGAATAGAGGTGTAACGGTTCCTTCTGATACATTGGAAGCTGGTTTTGTGAGCAACTATTTTATTCTGTTGTCAAATACAACAACTTTATTCCGGTCGGTCTATTTACCCCAAGACACCCATGGGGTAGTCTTGGGGTGTCTTTGGGTTGTCTTGGGTGTCTAAGGGTGTCTTGGGGTAGTCTTAGGGTGTCTTGGGGTAAATAGAGCGACCCACTTTATTCACGCCAAAAAATAAACATAAAGAAATGTGAGTTTTAGTCCATCTTTGAAAAGTCTATTGCTTCATTATGTTACACGCGATTAGTTTATTTAACTCGATCATCCAATCAGTGAGTGCACAGTGTTTTTCACTTAAGCAAATCAGAAAGTCAAAAAACTAAAAGGGCCACTCATTTTTAAGAGCAAATAAACAGAATTGTCAAAGACAAACAAATCATATCGAAAAATAATCAAATTGGGGTGCCGGATCAAATCAAACATTCGGTGAATAATTGCAGCCCTATAGTTAAATTGTGCTAACCCATTGCAAAGATAAAATGAAATCTTTACCACAAGTCATTTGAGACCTTGTAAAGAGGGATGAGTCATGTTCCTTAAAACAGGAATTAAATGACTCATTATTCACATCTATGACAAATACGCTTGATATCAAACACTCATGATAACAATTGTTGCTTTAGACAGGACTAGCATTTTGTTGTTTAGTTAAATTTTTAAGTTATTAATTATCATAGAAAAGAAATTTGTTTTATTGTTATATTAACTAATATATCCAATTATCCATTACATTTATTAAAATCATTTATAACTATACTTTTACTATACCACTTAACAGATTAACATTTTGAGGAGCTTTTTATGGACTTTATACGATATGTTTCATTGGTCATATTTGTTTTACAGGAGTATCCTTGATGAATCTATGGAAGATGAGGTGGATGGTGATATGCCAGCAGCTAAAGTAAGACATGTGTTCAGTGTTTCACATATTATTTCACATATTATTTCAGTGACATTACAGATCTTGTCAGGACAAACTTAAAGCAATTTTTTTTTATAATATAGAGTTTATATTTGTATTTTTCTTCTCGGATAGGCTCTGAAAAAATAGATCTGTTCTCAAGAGGCAGTAATAAACCCCTGTATTACAATAAAATGATATTTAACTGAAAAGAGGAATACTGTAAAAATTGTGCTGTCTTTCATTTTTCACACTATATAATATGATTCTGTTTTTAGTTTGGCACTATTAAATGGTCAAAATTTTAAAATGATATTGAAATATCTGGTTTTTTATTATATTATTAACATCATTTTCAGAAACTTGCATTACACGAGATCAACACATCTCGATACAATGAAGAATTCCATGAAGTATGTAAACTAGGTGATGGAGCTTTTGGAAGTGTGTATAAATGTGTTCATAGATTAGATGGATGTACTTATGCTATTAAGAAGTCAAAAACTCCAGTAGCTGGAAGTGTATATGAGTAAGTTTTTTAATACCCTAGTTAGCTAGCTTTAATAGTATTACAAGCATTACACATTTATAATAGGACAACTATCATCTGAGTATCAGATTCACTTTTAACATTCTACCTGGAATTCAAGTTTTGCAAACTAAGATATATTTACCTGGAATTCTAGTTTTGCAGACTAAGAAATATGTCTTAATTTAAATTTAATTTTGTATATTTTCTAATAGTTTTAAGGAGTCTGTAAACTAATGTTGATGCTACGAACCTGTGAGAACACTGTGATTCAATTTGCACCTTGTATTTTCCCCATCTCTTTATTTATGAACACATGATTAAATATTTATGTTTTTGTTATAGACGTAATGCCCTGAATGAAGTATATGCCCACGCTGTGCTAGGGAAACACCCCCATGTGGTACGATACTATTCTGCCTGGGCCGAGGAAGATCACATGTTTATACAGAATGAATATTGTAATGGTATGTAGATATTATTAAGTCTATAATTGTTACAGTTGAAGTTTAGATATTTACAAATCAGGACATTTTTCACATTGGTCCTTAATCCTTAACTGGCTTTTAAACTATTCCATAAGTAAGATGAAGACATTCCATAAAAACATACAAAATTTTACATTAATCTTTAATGAAGGTCTATAATAGGAACACTTTCTTGATAATAATGGTATTAGTATGTTTGATTTTTATGAATATAAGGAAAAAAATGTTCAAATTTGACTTTCAGGTGGTAGTTTAGCCGAGTATGTAGAGGAACACAGACGGACAGGTGGACATTTCTCGGAACCGGAACTTGTACAAATTTTATATCAAGTGGCACAAGGTCTTCGTTATATACATTCACAGAATCTTGTACACTTGGATATAAAACCTGGTAAGTTATAATTACACATTGTTTGAAAAATAACAAAGAAAAAATCAATTTACCCCTTTAATTAAATAAACCAATAATATGTAGCATCATCATGCAGTCGCAAAGAAACATTTCAGATACATTCTATTTAATGCGCTCACCTGCCGCTGGTTTTAATGATAGATTTTAGTTAATACTTTAAGCAAATATAAGGGCGGAAAATATTAAGTTTTTTTCAATGAATGAAAAGATAACTGTTGAAATTTTAATTTCCAGGTAACATATTCATACATCGGAATCCGAAACTGTTACAATCTCCAGAAAGTGGCCTCGAGTCATGCGAGGAAGAGGATGAATTTGAGGAAGCTGTTATATATAAAATAGGTGAGTTCTTGTGCTTAATGTAAGTGAATTGAATTGATAAAAGATTTGTTGAAGATAAAGTATTAGGTATGACACATCTCTTTGGGAATTTTTAAACAAGGTATTTCATATTATGTAACATAGCTTTGTCAGAGCTGTGTAAGCTTCTTTTCCAAAAAGATCATAACATTTTACTGTAATACTTAATATTGACAAGATGAATCTGGGTTGAGAAGAAGGTTGAAATAAAATAAATGTTCTGTTTATCTATTTCTAAGAAAAACTTTATTCTCTTATCCCACACTTGGTGATATTTTGCCAAGATTTTTTATACCATTGTTAACACTTGCCACACGTAATATTTTAAATGAACTGGTCTATCTTTTTTATTCTGGACAAGACCATTTTTTATTTATTTTTTTTTTGGAAAATTACAAAAAAATCTACTCAGTGCTGACTAAAAAGCAAAAAGTGCAGACCATGTTCAGATGGCATAGACTAGTCTACTGATCGTGGTCTGCCTTGGTTGCATGGGTACATTTTAAAGCAACCAGCAGGTCTTGAGACTTAAGATATCACATAGATATGACTTAAATGGACTAGAAAAAAGGCTTATATTAATTCAAGTATAATTTATTTCCATGTTTGATTTTCCCTAATATAACAAGAAATATAAAATAATTTTTATTTTATAGGTGATCTTGGTTTAGTAACATCAGTAACAAACCCGTGTGTAGAAGATGGTGACTGTAGATATCTGGCCAGTGAAATCCTCGCAGAAAACTACGATCATTTAACGAAAGCCGACATTTTCTCACTTGGACTTACTATGTTTGAACTGGTGAGTAGAGTGTTTTAATAATTATTTTATATATGAATGTATGTTCAGCAAACTAATGCATGTATTTTAAAATAACCATGATATTTGAATGCTTTAATTAGTTTTGCTTTAAGATAAACAAGCAAGCAATATTTTTCTTATATGTTAAAGTTAATTGATTAAATTAGATTTTCATTTTAAAATGTTGTTATTAAATGCAGAAGTTGATTGCGTTATTTAGTTATTTGTTATTTTTTGAAATATGATGTTTTGCACAATGCTGCTTGACAAGAAGTTAACATTTGGTAATGTATTGTTTCAGGGTGGAGGTGGTGAGTTACCTAAGAACGGAGATGAGTGGCATGCCATAAGAAGAGGGGAGCTACCAGACCTACCCCACTACTCTCAACAACTTAATGAATTACTGAAGGTATAATATTTCTAACTTTTTGTGTTAAATGTAGAGCTGTCATTGATAAAGTGCAAAGCATATCAACGATATATTGATATCGGATGACAAATATCAACAATACACCGATATATTGTTTACTACCTATAATTACTTGTCTCTCATTCACTTTCATACAATTTACATGTTTAAATGATTTCATTTGAAAATATTGTTTCTATCGATGACAGCTCTAGTCAAATGAATAAAGAGTATATAGCAGTCGATATAGTATGTGTACATGTAAGCTGGACAAATATAGTATGATTTCGGTTTGAGCTTATGAATAAGTTGCTATGGACATCTGTACGAGTATTGAATATTGATGTACCAAGTTCTTGATTGTTATTTTATGAAACTTTTTATAATTATTTCAGAGTATGGTACATGCTGACCCAAAACAACGTCCGACTTCCCATGCTGTATCGCAACATCCTGCACTTTCCCTCCAGGGGAAAAAATCGAGAGCTCAGTTGAAAAAAGAATTGAATGAAGAGAGATTCAAGAACCAACTTCTATCACAGTAAGTCAGTTTACTTGTTACCATGATTATGTAATGAACTTACCCAGCTCTATTTGGTCTGCTTGGATTTTGGCAGTCCATAATTAGTTCAAGGGATTTTAAATATCTTAGATGGTTATCTTGAGAAAACATAGAAAAAGTGTCAAGTTGGACAATATTTATGTACAGGATAGCCTGTCTAGACCAAGCCTGGCCTAGACTGTTGTTATAGGTGTGTAACTATTGCTGATCAAATTGATAAAAATCAGTAAACATTAAGGGATTAATATACATGTATTATGTAGAAACTATTAGTATTACAAAAAATAGTTTTGTTTACATTGGGTCTTTGGCATTGTGATGAACTGTTAGGGAAAAGTTTTTTCATCAACTATTTTGCAAAAAAGTCCATTTCTGAGTCTCTTATTTTCAATTTTTCTTTTCTATTTTATAACATTGTTTTGTTTTATTTTCTTTCAGAAAACTTGTAGAAGCAACCAAATGTTTGACCCAGAATGTGCCAAGTTCTAAATTTACATTACCACGACTAACAGTAGGTAACCCACGGTTGCTAGGCAACAAGATGAAGAGGAGTATGAGTCTGTCAGCTTTCTGAGAACATCCACAAATAAAATATTTGAATGAATTATAAAGACAACAGTATTTTATACAGCTAGTTAATTTAAATCTTGACAAAAGTGATAGTTGAATCAAATATAGGGCATCAAATGACTTTGCAATCAAGTATAATAAATTGATTATCTGTTTCTTTAAAATCTTTATATGAAATATATTTCTTTGGGAATTGAACAAACTTTAAAGTGATTATAAAAATAATGAGTATAAAAAAAAATAGAAAAACAATTCTATTGTGTTGCATCATTATTTTTGAATAAATCTAAATCTGGCGGTTGGATTTGTTTTTAAATATATTTGAGTGTGTACTATGGAATTGACAAAAAATATGAAACAAAAAAGGGGCAAAAAGTTGACAGAAAGTGAGAAGTTGTGATAAAGAAGGGAGATGAGAAGTTGGGTGATAACTGTGATTTTGTGCTGCATTAAAAATTCTTACATTGTATATAGACAATTATTTTGTATATATAGATGTCCTGTAATATCTCGTGTTTTAAGTTGGTACTTAAGTGAATTAAAGAATAAATTGATTGATCCCCACTTTAAAAACTTTGAACTTGGAAAGAGGTTATTCCTTTCGTTTTTAACATAGGATTTTACAAACTTCAGATGTTTTTATTTTAGATGTATTTTCATGCTTTAAAGTTTTACGAATTTGCAAAATATAGGTGATTTTGATAAAAACTCAAATATATAAATAAGGTAATGTAGCTTAACAACAAAATAGTCAAAAACAACTTGGAAATATAGCTTTAAATAGTTGATAGATAGGTTAGGAGGGTAATCGAGGGTAAAGTTTCAAATAACTACATATCCCGTAGAATAATCTGTTTTCTTAATGACATAATTCAATGCATTGATTGCTGTAACTTGTCATTCCGTCCTAGATCACTCTGAATATATTTTCTACTAAAAATAATGTGATTTGTTAAATGTAAGTAAGGAATAATAATATATAGGCTAACAACATAATTCCTTAAGTACTGACTTGAAATGTTGAGATAGATTTGGACAATGGTGCTTATCAAAATGTGTTCACTAAACTGTGTGCTACAATGATAGACTAAATATATTTGTCTCTAGATGAAATGCAATACATCTGTTAAAAATTTGTTTTCAATTCAGATAATTTCATCAATTTCTGTGTTTATGTTACGAAGATTTTTCAAGCTGTTATGTCGGCACCAGTCGTCATGATGGCAGTATTTGTGAAATTCTTGTAAATTCCATTTCTTAATACAGAAAATGATGAAAGTTTACTGAATTAGAACAAATTATTAATGGAGTAATTCCTAAAAATGTGTGGTGTGATGAATAGCTTACACAAGAATAACACAGTGGTGTAGGGCTTCACTGCATTTTTGAATTTGATTATTTTCACATTGCCTTGATGCTATTGGACCTGATTGTACTTTGCTTGTTATGGAATTTTAAATGCTATTTTTGATCTGAAGTTATTTTACTATTAATAAGGAACACAATTATTTTCAAAATTTTTGAAGTTTTTTCTTTTTTCATATTTTCTTTTATATTTTAGATTTGAATGATGTATGTGTAAGGTATATTAGAGTATTGATGAAACAATGTGTTTGAAGCTGGACTTGTGTTTATTCTTTTTTCTATAGTCACCTTTTTTCAAATTAAGTGGGGTTTTGTGTTGTTAATTTTTTAAAACAAAATATTGATGAACTTTATGATGAAATAGAAAAGTAACCAAGAAATAAAAATCTGATCAAATTTAACTATATGATTGATTCGAATATAGATATTACTAATAAATGATTATTTAATACCATGCATTTTTTTTTTGTTCTGAATAAATTTTTAGGATGATAAAAAGAATTATAAAAATTATTGTCAAAAAGAGGTATATTTTCAATAAAACTGTTGATAGTGTGCAAATAATTTAATATTTCATTTTCAATGTCTTTTTTTGCACAAGAATGGGGAATAAAGTCAATACAGAGGCAGATAATAGTTATCTTTGAAGACAGCTTGTATAATACTATTTGCGAGAGAGAATGAATTACATAAGACTATAGACTGTAGGCAGTATTTATTGATGAATGTCTGTGTAATGAAAGGAGCGGCGAGAGTGATTTATTTCATGTATGTTGTATTGTGATCTTATTATGAAAGTTACACTTATTTTAGTCCTTATGATAATCTTTTATTCTATTAAAGTGAAAGGAAAAGAAATTCCAACATTTTAAAACAATTTTATTTTTCATTTTAATCTCATTTACTCCATTATTAGATCATGTTTACATAGAATGTAGAAATGTTTGAAAATAAGGCAGAATTTCATAAGTTTTTACAAAACAAAATTTTTATTTCATTCAACATTTTTTTCATGTTGCTTGAAATAATTTTTGTAAATATTTTATGATTTGTTTTTTTTACTGCACATTTTCAAGCATTGTTGTTTGTTATACACCATTCCAAGTAACGATTTAGTTTCAATATTTGCACAATTTTTACTGAGAAAATCATGTGTATTAGTTTATATTTGTGTCTAAATTAGAAGATAATCATGGTGGAATGTTGCTATAAAGTTCAATTTTCTTTACAGGATGATTTCTTGTCTAATAATTTCTTTCATGTAAATGTCATTTACCATTAAACAATATTCAGGAATCAAATTCAAATTGATCAAAACATTTAGGATCAATGTCGGATAATTGGTTAGTTAATTTTTTACATTTTTTTTTTTTGCTGTATAAGAGATACAAAAGTAAGCTTTTACTCATGAATTCTCACTGTATTGATGCATTTGTTTGTATGATTTATCTGATGTTTTATGTTTTCTATATGTCATGTCTTCTACGTGTTTATGCAGTTTTAATATTTGATATTTTTATCTCCTGTTATCAGTGCTTTTAAATGATTTTATATGCTTGTACAAATGGAGAAATTACATTGTGTAAAGTGATAATTTCCAGTGTGCATGGAATTTATGCCAAATCTTAGATAGAAAATATTGTAAATAAAGGTATTCTAATAAATAAGCATGTGTTTGTAAAAATATTACTCCAGGGTATAGTGTGATTCTAGAATGGTAATTCCGTAACCCTTGTGGACAGCAATAGATTCTACCCACATTTCCAAATTGAACCAATGCAAACCTATATGAATCTTACACCGGTTGCAGGTACAGACAGGAATATCTAGACAAGGGTGACTGTTTACGGCGGTAATGAGGCTTTGCAGAGTTTCCGCTAAACAGTAACCCCGAGAGCTACATATTCCTGTCTGCACCGACAGACGGTGTTTGATTCTTTTTCTTGCATATTACGTATCTATTATTGTTTGTACCATCCAACACTGCACGAAGTGTAGCACAACTTGGGATAACTCTCTCAATATGACCTATTATCATGACCTATACACCAGTCTCGTCTTGTGTGTAACATTCACATCAGAGCTACTATCAGGAGTGTTGCACAGCAATTTTAAAACCTATCGGAGGGGGGTGGGGGGTAGGATTTATAATATCCAGAAAACAAAGTATCTCCCCCGGAATATTTGACTGTTAGTCATCAGTTAGTCACTAAGTTTTACAGAGTTAAATCACTAAAAGTCCATACCAGAGTTAAGGCTCTTGGTCAGTGGTCTATAATGACGCTGTAGAAATGTTGAGATTTATATGAATATTATTCATGGTTCAGAAATTCAAACTGGCATACTAAACTTCAATTTCCAATACTAAAGGGAATAATATAATTAAAAGACGATATAAAGGTTATTTTTCTTGTCACAGACCTACCTACAGCACAACTCAATCAATTAAAGCGAAAGATTTGTGATCTTGACAAAATTACTAATCGGTCTTACGGATGATACTTTAAATTGAGGTCCTGTGTTTGAGTACTTAAACCTTTGGCATGTTGAAGAACAAGAAGATTCTAGAATTAGGGCATCTTTCTGTATCTTGCACTATCCTCCAAAATCTAAAATGACTAATACTCTCTCTGGAGGACTCGACCATATGGGCAACCAGTGGCGAGTATAAATAAACTCGAATACAAAATGGCCTTATACACACTCACTCGGTCACAAGTTGTATTTGACAAAAAGATAAGAAAGAACTTTGATAAAATGAACAGTTTATTAACAACAATGGACTTATAACACTATATACAAATTATGGTAACAACAGGTATCAGTGTAATAATATATTATATCACATACATCTTGGATTTCCATAAAATTGAAAAAAAAAATAAACAAGGAGGAACAAAGATGATGAAATAAATAACTTACAGGTAGGTAAATATTGTCTCATGGAATATGATATACAATGTTATATTGCCTTGTATAAACTGTCCAAACAAAACTTGCATCAGTACGGTTGTTAAAATCCAATATTCATCATTAAAGAATTGGGATTATTTTGAAATAATGACGAATTTCCCTTTCGTCCTTTTTCTAGGAAGTTTTTGGGAAGATATCATTTCATGAGAAAGATTTAGTTCTTTTAAGAGACATTTCAAAATTATAACAACATTTTAGTCCCAAATACTCTTATACAGGGCAAACCATACAGCTAATAAGATATAATCATTAAGTTCTTATAAATTCTGGAAAATGATACATGTTTTATGTTCAAAAAGTTTATATTGCACAAAATTTAACCAACTTATTTTTATAGATAGGTTATGAGACATGTTTGTATAGGAGGATGAATGCATAGTTAAATTGCTATAGTAACATTAAAGCCTTCTAGCTGTAAATGAAACATCTGAGTAGAATTCAAGCTTTCTATATAGAAATGTTTAGATATTCTGAGTAGAAGCTGTATATATCATCGAGTGCCCGTAATATGTCCTTGTCAAAGAGTTAAAACTGTTTATGTTACAAAGTCTTTTGTCATCTAACTGTTTACAGAACATGTTAACATTCTGTGTAGAACACCTGCTTATAGAATACATGTAATTATTATTCTAGTTAACAAATTTATGTATAAATTTCAAAATAAAAGTCATTTTAGCACTATCTCATATCAAAGTATACAGCACTATCACAATAATAAGATTCAATTTGTAGAAACTGGATGTAGGGATAAACAATTTGTACAATGTGCAGTTGTGTTGTACTGTTAACCAACAGATTATAATTTGATTATCATACTAGTCAACAAAAGACCAAAATCCCTCAATAAAAAGCAATCAATGAAAAAAATGCAAACTGCAAATCGGTAGGATTTTAAAAATATTTTGATTGTTTGATTGAGAAAAGTAGATTTAAGAATAGAACATTGTCAAACATGAAGCCATTCTATATTACAATAATTGATATGTTTTTTTTTACTGAATATTGTGTAAACAAAACCCTTTTTACTGAATATTGTGTGAACAAAACCCTTTTTACTGAATATTGTGAGAACAAAACCCTTTTTACTGAATATTGTGAGAACAAAACCCTTTTTACTGAATATTGTGAGAACAAAACCCTTTTTACTGAATATTATGTAAACAAAACCCTTTTTACTGAATATTGTGTGAACAAAACCCTTACTGAATATTGTGTGAACAAAACCCTTTTTACTGAATTTACGTTATTGCTTTCATGACATTGCATTTTTTTAGTAAGATATTTATCCCCTGTAACAAGGCTTTTGGTTCGTGGTTTATATACTTTTTAAGTAACCTTTTATAATTTTAACAAAAGTTAACAGAGGCAGGTTTACCAATATTAAGTTTTGTTCTATAACCATATCAAACATTATGTGTAAAACATGAGTTCTTGAATAACATACAATGTTATAGCACCATTCTTTTAACATCAACAGTCCTATATTTATCATTCTGCATCACAACATTTCACAATCTGTTCTTACATTCGAAAAATACATGTACTTATCTTAACATTAAACAAAAAGGTTTCGAAAAAAAAACAAAAACAAAAAACATGAAAAGAAAAGCATTTTATTTTGTATAAGAAAGTGTTGCAATGTAATTTACATTCTTGGATCTTTATCTTTACTTAGAAAAGCATAAGGCAAAATTATGACTTATTTTTTTTTCCTTTAAATTTTGCCAAGTATGTGCCAATAATCAACAAATAAAGTTTAAAAATTTAACAACAGCTTTTATAAGTTAAAACATTAGTACAATTATTTTACCTATAGACAATCTAAAAGATCTGATTTGAAATAACATTCATGTAAAAATAATATATTCAATATTACATGTCACAAATGATACAAGTTTAGTATACTAAACAAGTTGAAATAACTTATTTTTTACTTCTAGATATTTTGTAAATACAACTTGAATGTTATGTAGTTAAACAGAAAGTTTGTAAGAACAATAGAAACTTATGTCCAGGATAAAATTCTGGATGACTAAAGATTACACCGCATACAACTCACTTCTACAATTATACTAATTTATTGTTAATCAATATTGCAAATGTTTATAATTGGATTGCTAAATTGTTTGCCATCACTGAATGCCTGGCAAATAACCTCAGTATTAACACTGAATTCTCCTTCGACCATGTTTCCTTTTTATATATGTCACATCATTGTTTAAAACATTTTCAACAGCTGAAAAACATCTAACTTAAGATGTTTCGAAAACAAAATTTCAAAAATTAAAAATCTTGTCTGAAAGACAATCGAAAAAAATAAAGCTTGTCCCGAAATTTGTAAAATGTAATAAAACTAAACAATGTGTAACATTAAAGTGGTGGTCTGCCATAATGTCTATAGTCTATGAGAGATGCCGAGCTGGCGGGGAAAAGGGAGATAATCACTGATAGTACTGCCATCACTATGAAGAAACAGCCCATTGTCATTCTTATTCTCCAACCAGATATTTTAATCTTTGGTACCGCTTCATGAAAACGCTCTGTCAGCAATTCTTTTAGACTTCTGAAAAAGTAAAACAAAATGCCTCTGCAGTAAAGCAAGGAACAGCGGAAACAGTATCTGTAATCAAATACTGAGTTAAATATAATTATGGGTGGCAACATATTCAGGCACATCTGTGCCAGCTGATCATGGTCTGCACTGTTTGTTGTTCAGTCAGTCCATATTTTGAAATTTTCTTAAAAAATAATGAATGGTTTTTATCCAGACTGTAGGACACACAGGTCAATTCAAGATATTTAGCTTGGTAAGAATTAATTTGATGTCTTTAATTCAAGTTTTAAAAGAAGTGCAAAAATAAAAGATTATTACAGTTTGTTGAAATGTGTAATACAGAAATCAATAAGAAATGCAGGACAAATGTATTTACACATACAGAGAAACTTACTTTGGTTCTTCGATCTGGTTATCAATAGAGTCCATAATTTCTCCCAAACTTTCATTGATGTTATTCTGTTGTTCTCGTAGACTGGACAAATCTTGACCGAGACTTGCACGCATACCTTGCTCATATCTGGTGTAAATATAATAAATATATGCACATAAAATCTTACAATATTGGCGGTACTTGTGACATTTGAAGTATATTGTATGCAACTTGAGTAGGGCTTGAACCCACAATACCAGACAATTCAAATAATATTAACAGTGCATTATAATATAAATCAAATAAGCTTGTTCATTCTAAAGTGGTCTTACTGTATAAATATTATATAACCTGTTGTAAATACATTTTTATGTCTTAACAAGATTTATGCTTGCATCAGCACAAATCGTACCACTTATTATCAATCATCTCACAAACACTGAATATAAAAATAACTGTTTTCAAGTAAGTAATAGTGATATAATAAGAAACTATTATAGCATATATATTACCCCTTTTTAAAAGCTTCTTCTTCTAAATTCTTTTGTTTTTCTTTATCTTGAACATCAATGTGTTTGTTTGGGCTGAAAAAGAAAACAAATAGGTTATATTTTTTTACAGATATCCTCCAGTGAGATGTTATAATTTGCCACCCTTTGTTGTTCAAGTGGCAATTTGCTGTACAAGCTATACACATTCTTGAAGAACATTAAAATATACATCAACCATACATAACAATCAACTTGAAGTGTACATTACATCTAAATCCATATAATACAAGCATATGCCACTGTGATCAAGGGCAGTAACTACACTGTAAATTATCCTTGTAAATATCACTAATTGTTAAGTCTTCTAACAATGTTTTGTAAATAAAAACACAATAATATTTTCATAGTACAACTAATCATGAATATTTGAAAAATGCTCACTTGAGTGTTTCAAAATGATACTATTTTCAAGGCAGGTTTAATGCAATATATGCACATGAAAAATATCATGTAACTCACAGCTGCATCATGTGAGAATTTTGATATTTCAACAAAATTTTAATAGTAAACATCCTTATAATGAAAGAATTTTAAATTACTATGGAAACATTTTACCTTTCCATAGAATAGTATTTACAACTTTTATATAAAAGATATATTATATAAGTATGTAAGAATAATACACAGAGCAAGATGAAAGGAGTTGCGTCACAACAAAACCATCATAGTGCGTCAGCGACCAGCATGGATCCAGACCAGCCTGTGCATCCGCGCAGTCTGATCAGGGTACATGCTGTTTGCTTACAAACCCTATTACAATTAGAGAAACTGATAGCGAACAGCATGGATCCTGATCAGACTGCGCGGATGCGCAGGCTGGTCTGGATCCATGCTGGTCGCAAACACACTATATTGGTTTTGCCATGGCTAGGCTCACAGTATTTACCTATCTGATGAATTATCGCGGGAAACTTGGGGTGTGTTTGCCGGAGTTACATGCTGCACATGGTTCTGTTTCTCTAGTGATGCTCGCCGTAATGTGTTAGCTACTGCAGTTTTTACTGTCGTAGATGCAATCACTGCCTGGAATCTGCTACGTGCATCCTGCAAAAACAACATCTACAGGCTTAAATACATAAACTTTAAAATCAAAATTGAAATATTTAATGAATTAATGAAAAGATTCTGTCCATTCGTCATGCATTGGGAAAAAGTAATGTGATTGAATTTTGGTTATAAAACTTAAAGGAAGAGACTAGTCTAAACTCTAGGCTGTGATTGGCTGATTCAAGGTTGAAAATGGACCAATGAAATTGTCTTGATTTATAATCAATCTCTATGTTAAGCTTTATAACCAAAGAAACTACCGGTTGTAAAATATGCAGATATATATATATATATGAACCTTTTCATTAATTCAGCTAGAGCTTACATTAAATCATGAGATAAATAATTATCTAATATATGAAAACTACATTTTCATTTATTTTTTATTGAAATATTCTATAGAGTAAAAGCTTTAGTTGAATGCAAATAAAAGAAGTTTTTACATTTGAATAAGTAGCAAGCAATATAATTGTTATTATCAATGCTGAATCAATTTTAAAGTAACTTATTTCTATAAATGATCCGCGTCACGACAAAACCAACATAGTGCGTTTGCGACCAGCATGGATCCAGACCAGCCTTCACATCCGCGCAGTCTGATCAGGATCCATGCTTTTCGATTTCAGTTTCTTTACTTGTAATAGGGTTGGTAAGCGAACAACATGGATCCTGATCAGACTGCGCAGGCTGGTCTGGATCCATGCTGGTTGCAAACACACAATGTTGGTTTTATTGTGACGCGGCTCAAATGATCTGAAATATATATGTGGTTATTTATTTGTAAATCAGAATAGATAAGGCAGCAAGCTTGATAGAGGTAATATTTCACATGTTTAAAGGTCCTGGGATATAACTGGTGGCATTCTAGTCAGCACACAACAGTTGATATTGTATCACATTCTGATATAATTATATCTAATCTACATGTCAAACACACAACTGTCATCATATTCTAAAAATCTTAAATTGTAATGTTTTGATAAGTAAAAGTATATAAAAGGCTAAAACATGTAATAAAAGAGCTGTCCATAGACAGAACGCTCCATTTATCTCAGTGCTGAATAGTAAAGTTGAAACCAAGTCTAAAAGGGAAATAACTGTGTGAAAATGGCTTTGAAGGTTACCTGTCCAAAAGAGGACCATAACATTGTAAAATTAGATTTGGAAAAAAAATAACAAGAGGGCCATGATGGCCCTGAGGTCGCTCACCTGTATATAGGCCCCCCCCCCACCCCGGGCCAATTTTTACCCAAGGGCTTTTATTTGTTTATTTGAACAGACTTGGTAGACACCCATAAGAAGATGTTTCATGCTAAACATCTAATTTCTAGCTCATTGGGTTTTTTAAAAGAAGATTTTAAAAGTTTTTACTATACACATATAGTTAAAAACAATGACACCCCTGGGGCAGGGCCAGTTTTGACCCCCGGGCTTTTATTTGAACAAACTTTGTAGATATTTACTAAAAGATGTTTCATGCTCAATATCTAAACTCTAGCTATTTGGGTTTTTTCAAAGAAGTTTTTTAAGTTTTTGCTATACACATATAAGGAAAATCAATGACCCCCCCCACCCGGGCGGGGCCAGTTTTGACCCCAGGGCTTTTATTTGAACATACTTGGCAGACACCCATTAGAACATGTTTCATGCTAAATATCTTAGCTCTAGCTCTTTGAGTTCTTTAAGAGAAGATTTTTTAAGTTTTTACTATATGCATATAGGGAAAATCAATGACCACCTGGGGCGGGGCCAATTTTGACCCAAGGGCTTTTATTTGAACAAACTTGGTAGACACTTATTAGAAGATGTTTCATGCTAAATATCTTAGCTCTAGCTCTTTGGGTTCTTTAAAAGAAGATTTTTAAAGTTTTTACTATATGCATATAGGGAAAATCTATGACCCCCTGGGGCGGGGTCAATTTTGACCCCAGGGCTTTTATTTGAACAAACTTGGTAGACATTCACTAGAAGATGTTTCATGCCAAATATCTAAGCTCTAGCTCTTATGGTTCTTTAAAAGAAGATTTTTTAAGTTTTTACTATATGCATATACTGGGAAAATCAATGACCCCCCCGGGGTGGGGCCAATTTTGACCACAGGGCTTTTATTTGAACAAACTTGGTAGACACTCACTAGAAGATGTTTCATGCTTAATATCTTAGCTCTAGCTCTTTGGGTTCTTTAAAAGAAGATTTTTTAAGTTTTTACTATATGCATATAGGGAAAATCAATGACCCCCTGGGGCGGGGCCAATTTTGACCCCAGGGCTTTTATTTGAACAAACTTGGTAGACACTCACTAGAAGATGTTTCATGCTTAATACCTTAGCTCTAGCTCTTACGGTTCTTTAAAAGAAGATTTTTTAAGTTTTTACTATATGCATATAGGGAAAATCAATGACCCCCCGGGGCGGGGCCAATTTTGACCCCAGGGCTTTTATTTGAACAAACTTGGTAGACACTCACTAGAAGATGTTTCATGCCAAATATCTTAGCTCTAGCTCTTTGGGTTCTTTAAAAGAAGATTTTTTAAGTTTTTACTATATGCATATAGGGAAAATCAATGACCCCCTGGGACGGGGCCAATTTTGACCCCAGGGCTTTTATTTGAACAAACTTGGTAGACACTCACTAGAAGATGTTTCATGCCAAATATCTAAGCTCTAGCTCTTGGGGTTGTTTAAAAGAAGATATTTAAAGATTTTTCTTTCGCTTGCCATGGCAACCAGAGTTCTGCATGGAATTAAATTCTTTGAACAATTTTTAAAGGTGACCACCAAAGGAACATTCCTGTGAAGTTTGGATGAAATTGGCTCAGTGGTTTATGAGGAGATGTCATTTAAAGCAAAAGTTTACGGACGACGGACGGACGCCGGACGCCGGACGAAAAGCGATCACAAAAGCTCACCCTGTCACTTTGTGACAGGTGAGCTAAAAATATAAAATTCAGTTGAAAAATTGGCACAACCTTTGCAAAAAATAAATTTTCTGCTCTTTTGAAAATGTGTACCATTTTGACACTGTGAACATATAGTCAAAATTTGAAGTGCGAATACCTTTGGTAGTTTCTAAGAAATGGACCTTAATAAAACGGTAAACCATACCAATGTCAACAAGAGGCTCATGACAATAGCTCCTTTATTTTTTTTAAAAAGGTTGAGCTAAGAAATAATTTACTTTTAATGTATCTACAATCAATTATTACAACTGCTATCTTGTTTTATGAAATCTGTACCACAGAACTAGCATGAAGAGACATCCATGTGATGTGATAGACAAAAATATACCATTTATGTATCTTACATGAATTTAAAATATGTCCCCTGCCGACATATGAGATTTCTTTAATTTTAAAATAGTAAATTTAAGCATATTCAACAATCATGCATTTTAGGATTAAAAAGGTTATGAACTTAAGATTTCTGTAAAGTAAACATGCATGTGATTTCAAAGGAAAATACATTTTTTTCTTCCAAAATATTTATCTACCTGTAAGAAAATACCATATGCATGTATAATAATTGAGTGAGGAAAATTTTGTAAAATACCAAGTATAATTAAGTCTTGCATGCATCAGGAGTATTTGGACATGGAATTAGGTAAAATATGAATAATATGGTACAGCAGTAATATGTATATACTAAGGTGTTATTATTAACGTTTTCATATACATATTTATTAAATTCAGCAGGTATAAATAGTCATTACATTATTTTCTATGTTAAATTAGCACATACAGCAAAAAATACTGGCATTTCATTGTAAAAACATGCTGTTAGTTTATTCATATATACACATATATATAAACAGTGAGTAGACCACAATGCATTAGGATGTCACATGACTCCAGTACAAGCCAAATAGAATCTTACTGCTTCAAAGTTAGGATTCAGAGAGTTTGACTCAGAGGTGATATGAGCTGTATGCATGTTTCCCTGTACGAAGAGAAAAAGACATAGAAAATACATGTGAATTATAAAAGAAACAGATACACTCCAATATATCACTATATATACAACATCACAGAACCTTTGTATCCTCACAAACCCTTATATGGAGATTTGCATGTCAATTATCTTATTTTACCTTTAAAGTGCAGTCAAAAGCACAGAAATCTGCTGTATTTTTGTTTGTAATTTAAATATCTACTCATAGACATTCGTGATATTGTAATGAAGGCAATAAAAGCTAAAAACAAATGATGAGCAAGTAATTTTTTTTGCAATGTGAAAATAAACAATTTGTACATATTTTTCAACAATGCAAGTTATGCAAGAAACTCCATATAGGTGTCATCTGTATAGAAAGGTTCTGCGAACACTAAACAATTATACCAACGTAACATGTCATGCAAATAAAGCAATGTCAACTACAAATACATACAAATGAAACATACAAGAACATCATGATGCATGAAAAGCTTATAAGATCACTAAGTTAAACAAAACGCTGGAACTCTGGCAAACAACTGGCAAACAATTGACAACATATACCTCAATACACAGACAAAATATTGCCACAATGCTCTCAGCTAAACATTTCTATAAATAATAAAGAGTTGAAGTGGAGGATTATATAATATCTAACTAGCAACACAAATGTTTAAACCATTGACAAAACTGCAAAATACACATCAATTCCTGGACGGACTGGCAAGAAACATTGAAAAGAAGAAACTACTTAGTTTGTAAGGAAAACCAATTTCAGACCTGTTTCTGACAAGCATTCATTAAATATCTAAGAGATTTACTTAATTAAACAGCCTTTTCTCCACGCTGAACTTGTTTAAAGGTAGAATATATTTGTGTTCAGAAAAGATACAGTTACTGTAACAAGACCAGTGCATCACTGAATCATACATGTGAACTTTTTTTGATGATCAAGTGGGAGATTTTTCTTCAAAAAGAGAGAGATTTTAGAATTTGCAATAAACAAAGAAGGATGTTCTGACATCAAAAAGAGGGAGATTTCTTTAATTTGTGAAAATACCCCTTATTTTAAGAAAAAATCTTTGAAAATATGACTGCAGAAAGTGGGAGTCTCCCGCTAAAAGTGGGAGAGTTCACATTTATGCTGAATTCTAAAGCCATTATAACAGAGAGAAATGTTTCCTGTATTTGGAATCTCTGGCAAACCCTTATCCTTTAAATTTGTTTTATTTACATTATTGCTTCATATTATTACCTGACTTCAATTTTTCATATGTATTTTTTTTTCATTTGAATTTACATAGTATTGTTTGAGTTTTTAAGGTTATAGTATTGAGATGTCACGATGAAACAATGTCTGAAGTAAGATTGTTACATAGTTAGAAAACTAGTCTGCAGTAAGGAATAAACCAACTGTTATAAATTGATCTTATTGTTGTGTGTACTAGACATGGCCGGCATTTTCTTATCCCATTTGATCACCATTAAAGACTTTGTTAACTGCTATATTATGTCAATGTACAAGTAAAGTCTGACAACCAGTTTAGGAAGATTCTTACTACAGGTGCCTCCATCATCATCTAACTTTTTTCTATATCTAATTATAACAAGCATGGTAAAAAATATACATAGGCAAGGTACAGAATGATTCTCACTAGCTATATACAGGGTATATATATATTTCCATAACCAAAACTTGCACTATGTCTAAAGAAATCAGTTTTAAACTACAAGCATTGTTTAAAAACTGAATCTTAGAACATTGGTGCATATATATCCCATAACACTTTTTTTCATATTCACTGTGAAAGTAAGATGTGAAATCATTAATATTTTTATTCAGTCAATAACATACATTTAATAATAATTAAAACAATTTATGAAAGAAAAGAAATACATCACAGTGAAATGAACAGGTAAACTAATATGCCATTAACCATAACAGGGTTGTATACAAAAGGCTATGGTACAGAAATGTGGGGATTTGAATGATGTGTTAGGCTTACCTCATCCTCCTCTATTGAGCTGTCAGTTCCAGCCCTAAACAGACCGGGAACCCGCGGAGAACGGATCTCCGTGTAAAATGAATCCTATATAAACATGCAGTACTACAGTATTATTGATATAATTAAAAATTAATATACACAAACACATGCTACCTGAAATCAAACTAAAAAATAGGTAAAATTGTTCTAATTCTAACAATATCAACAACAGTGATAGATGAAGAAAAAACCCAGGCCGCCAAAGCTTATAAAACTTGTGTTTAACTAATGTAAAGAGATTCCTGTCTGATTGGTTGTTTTAAATTTTCAAATTCAAAAATAGACCAATCAAATCATGGTTTAGATATTTGGGTGTAAATCTCCATCACAAACCAAGGACGGTGTATAATCTATGACATATAAACAAACTATAGCAGTCTCTAAAACAGTGAACAATTCTAAAACAATCAAATATTGCAAATATTATTGGGATGCATAAATTGTGACCTTACTTACCAATTTAGACAGCTAAGTAAATTAAATGTATCACAGATTAGTCATTTGACTAATATACTTGATTCACTTTAAAAGTTATTATTTTATTCATACTATGAAAATGCCATAGAATATTTTTCTATATAGAAGGTTCCCCTCATCTATTTTTCATAAATATTACAGATATTGTAAATGCATTTCCTGTACAAGTTATTCTTGTTATTGCAGTATCAATCAATTATATTGATTAATTTCTGTGAAAACATCTTGTTTGGATAATTGACACTAATCTTAACTGTGAATTAACCTTTAAAACCTACAACTTAAATGCTTTTCTTGGTGATATATTTTATATCTGGATATTTTGTCCAATATAATTGTGGACTACATATCAAAACATTTGACCATAACTTTTTTTCTGTAGAATACTACGTGTTTAACCTTTTTAAAAATTCTGAAGTATGATTGTATGAGAGATAATACATGCAACGTAACTGAATAATTTATATCTAATAGCAAAAACATGCTAAAAGGAAAACCTTGAATGTACACTAATATAATAATATCAATCATTTCTTCACATGATGCATTGATTTATTTATTTACTGGCATTAAATGCAATGGGAAATTACTGGAATAAAAATATGTGACCTTAACATGTCTTACATGTTGTAATAAAGTTCTATGCTGAATTTCCATTCATAAAATACGGATGTTCTATTTATACTGAATATGTATTTCTTAATTGTCATATAAAACTCACTGGAAAAAAGTCAATGTCATAATCTAATGGTAGAATGATAATGTTCCTTCAGTAGCATATTGTGAATATTTTAATGTGTTAGAAAAATTATGTTCTTTATAACTGACTTTCAATTTAAGATAAAACTTGCTAGTTGACAGTAGGGTGACTATTTGGTATTTGTTTTTCACTATTCTATTGCCACAGTCTAGTAGAGAATTTCTTGCCAACACTTCACACCCCACTCTGTAGCTATGGTAACCATTAAGCTTTATCATATGAAGCACATGCATTGTGGTATATATTATATTTTAATGTATAGTTACCATGATGTAATTATGACATATATAAATACCTACCATAGAAGCTGATGGGTGTAATGTTGCAGCTCCAGTGCCTCCTAGGACTTTAGGAAGGGCTATCTCACTCACACGTCTTCTGGAAGCCTGAAATAGTTCACCAATTAATATCATTACTTAAATGATAATAATAATAATAAAAAAAAAGCAATTTGGAATGAAAACATGTTCACATTCAAAATTCAAGCTCTTACTTTATCAATTTTCATTAAGGTTAACATTGCTAGCAATTTATCAATTTAAAAAAAAAAATTCCCAAACTGCTCTGACACGGAGACATTTTGATGAAAATCAATTCAAGGTAACAGAAAATGTGATTAAATATTGATCTTGTTTTCTTGATATTTCAAGATATGGCCTGTGTCAAGAACGATTAAAATCAAAATTGAGAAAATTCTAAGCATGTTTTGTTTTCTTTCATCAAAAGTGAATGTTTCAATGGCAAATGAAACTCCTTAGTTTATTATATAATCTAGTAACCTATTTCAGCTTTATAATGTTTTGTATAAAAAAAGAAATAACAATATATTTTCTACAGAATATAAGTACAAATATACTGTCATGCTACATACCAATTTAAGAAATTAAATAAATAGAATAAAAATTGATATAAAAAAATAATTTACTGAATCAAATGTTTAATGGATATATAAAAGATTCAAAATAGTATTTAAAAGTTATTGTAAAACTAACTACACTATATTTTGTACAGAGGAACATCCCTGTTGCTGTTAGAGAGGTTAAATTTAATGTTGTGAAGTCTTACTTTGGGAGGAATTGATACAGTAACATACTGATATTGTTAACAGGTTATTTTTCTATAGAGGGCTACTCTACAGGGGTTACCCTGTATGCTTTATTAGTCCCCTACCGGTTTACCGGAGGGGACTTTAGGTTTACCCTCCGTCCGTATGTCCGTCAGTCTACAAAACTGGATCCCGCGATAACGCAAAAAGTACTGAAAATATTTTAATGAAACTTGATATATGGATTTATTATATACCTATAAATTTTCTCGCTAAAATACACGCAAATATTGAAGCGCAAATACGCTTCAGCGGATAGAAATTTCCGTATTATGTTAGTGACAAATACGGTACCATATATGGAAGTGCCGGACTATTTTTGACGTTGGTTCCGATCTTAGCCTTGTATAACGTTGCATTTGGAAACGGGAACCAAAATTATTAAAGGCGTGGCCAGTTTGCAAGAATTACGTATTCATCCGTCAGTCATGAATTTATTTCTTGACAAATGCATTTCATTTTCTGAATAAAACGAAAAGGTATATAATAAAAGGAAAATTATGTTATAGTAGCTTTCTGAGACTATGTATTTTTCTACTCGCAACATTGGAAAATTGATATCTCGCTCGACCTTCGGTCTCGCGAGATATCAATTTTCCACCGCTGCTCGTAGAAAAATACAAAGCATCAGAAAGCTACTACAACATAATATTCCGTATAGATGGCAGTATGTAGATTATGCACGTCTTTTTCTTTTCTTCCTATGTTGAAAATTTTGGTTGCTATGGCAATAAATAGACTGAAAATATGGCAAATTTTACACATAACCTGGATCCCGCGATAACGCAAAAAGTACTGAAAATATTTTTATGAAACTTGATATATGGATAGATGGCAGTATGGAGATTATGCACGCCTTTTTCTTTTCTTCCTATGTTGAAAATTCTGGTTGCTATGGCAACAAATAGACTGAAAATATGGCAAATTTCACACATAACCTGGATCCAGTGATAACACAAAAAGTACTGAAAATATGTTTATGAAACTTGACATATGGGTAGATGGCAGTATGGAAATTATGCACATCCTTTTTTATCTTCCTATGTTGAAAATTCTGGTTGCTATGGCAACAAATAGACTGAATTTCAAGATTTCTGATTCTAGTTTTTAAGTTTTTTCACTATAAGTTCTTTATTTCTTAAGGTATTTTCTTCAAACTTTGAATATAAGTTGGTTGTCATCAACCACATCATATGTGACAAGGTTTACAACTCTAGCACAAAATTTATCAAAATTACCTCCCTTGAACTTAAAATTTTCATGAAAAAAACATTGTTTTTTTTTAATAACTTCTTTTTCTGAATGTATCTACTTCAATATTCATATAAATGTTTCTTATTGTCACTCAACATTTGTGAGTGTTCAATACTCTAGCAAGACTATTTCCAGAATTATGCCCCTTTTGAACTTAGACTTTCTTTTAAGAAATTGGTAATTTTTACTCCAACTTCTTCAATCATGATAGGATTTTAAAAATGTTATATTTTGATAACAGGGATGTTTAAAAAATAACTTTAGAGTGTCCTTCAGTCCGTCTGTCTGTACATAAAAACTGTTTCCTGTGATCACTTTTAAAGAACTTTTTCAACAAATTTACTTAAAATAGGAACCTAAGTGAATGGCCAATGGCCCTTCAGAATGTTGCTTGGGCTCTTACCGGTAGGGGACTTATGGATTGCTTGCAATACTATGATAATTGCTTGTTTACCAAGAGTCGTGGGCATTTCTAAAAATGGACCAGTGACGTGTGATGACGTCACAGGAACAAGCATGGAAATTACCTGGAAATGTTTAACCATTTGTATTCTGCACTGTCATGATCTTTTATGCATCTCTAAAGACTTATTTCCGATTATCTAACTCATTTTATACAGGTACCATTTTGCATTCACATGCATTTTGCTTTTCCTTGAGTTGTGGCTAAAATGTATGTCAACAGTATTGCAAGAATACATTGGTGAAATCTCACTGAACTATCTCAAGTTACCTTACCAATTTATTAAACATCATTATATGACTAGAGCCTCCTATCTTTAGCGATTTAGAGCAAGATTTGATTTATTTATTTGATACTTAAAAGTCCTCAATAAGATCTATAAAGTTTTGTAATCAAACTAAAATTAAACATCAGGGCAACTTTCATTCTGCCTTCAAAATCTTTTATACATTAACAATATTGTAGCAGTAACAATATTGTAGCAGCAATTGCATATGATATATTAATTAAGCAATGTGGTTTTCAAATGTATCCCTATTCCCTTAATTTTGCTTTATAAACCATCATTACTAATTGCAAAAAGACGTAGATAAAACAAATGAATTCAAAATTACATTCAAGTTTGATAATGGATTGATAATAGATATGATGACGCCGGCGACCCAGTGTTAGTTTATATTTCAATTAATAGATCAGTGAGACTTTCAGTGGGCCCAATTTTGGCGCGAAATTAAGTCAACCTGTTCCAAACACCGGAAACCAGTAGGTTGTTGTTGTTGTCTAAAAATGTGAACAAACCCTACAAATGGCCAAATGATTTGATAATTACAATATTTACAACTTTTTAACAACAAATTATGATAAATACTGTATTAACTTCCCAAATACATTTTTAACCATCATGATTTTAACCCACCCCAACTCAAGGAAAACCCACGACTTAAGGGAAAGCAGCCATACTGTATCTTGTTATAACAGACTCTATTTTATAAATAAATTGTCAATATCATTTAATAACAGATATTTGTTGATATATAAAATGATGTAATTTGTCACTCTCTCAATTGGTACTACATTAACTGTAACAATTGTAAAATGAGTTAACATTTTATTTATAAAAAGCAGTACTTGAGGTAAATCTAGATAATCTTGTAAAAAACCTGAAAATCTGCTTTAAAGATCATTAAAACTTGTTGAATTCATTATAGATTATAAGAAAAAAGAAATTAGTACCTTTCATATAAATTCATTAATTAAAATAATCTACATATTCTTAGATAGGCAAAATATTTAAGCATTAGAGCATAATAAAAGCAAATTTAACTCTATATAATGCATTATTTGGAAGCATTAAAAGTAATTAAGCATCATAGCAATAAGACAGATTTAACCCCTGTATCAACTGAACATATATACAGTTAAACTTTGTTTGCTCGAAAGCAGTGCTCGAATACCTCCCCAGTCCCGGCAAATTTCCTATTTAATATATATATTGTTCTACCTCAATCTCTCGAACAAATTTGCACAGGCCCTTCGAGTTTGAACAAAGTTTGACTGTAATAGGTTCCCTATATTTAGAATTAGACCCGTCCACATTTTCAATTCAAATAGGGGTTTCAATACTGAAAACCCTAAAACTGGATAACCAATACTAAACAAGTCTGATCTGACTTCACAGGTATGTACACTGGATTTTCTGTGTACTGGTGTCACAGAATCTATTAAACTGTGTCTGTATAAAAGATCTATTATGACAATGGACATGATATGTATAAACATATCTTATCAACAAAATTATTATGTTTAATTGAACATGATCACACATTTTTGGGACACATAACAAGAAACGAAAATCTGTGCAAGAGACTGGCACTAATGCACAAAATTGAGAATCCCAGAAAGTAACCCATTAGAGTGCTATAGTGAATCTCACTAACATTTAACACAGAATGACACTATTTTCCAGTGAGTCAACAATCAGTGCGCCACATATCTAACACTTTACACAAGTCACAGACCACAATCTGCTCATGCACATCAACAAACCTAGACCCAACAAGTAAAACATGAACTTCAGGTGTGTGAGAAGCCTGTAGGACACACTCATCTAGCATTTTACACAATGTCAACTAACAGTGACTATTTAAAACATAATTGTTTAAATGGACCACAGTCTGTATCAACCATAAGAGATATACACAATTTCAATCACCACTAAATGTATAGCTCTGACACAAAAGATTAGCTTTACAATAAAATATCTTACTGAATCTACCCTTTGCAAGCTATGTTTGCTTAAAATTATGTGAATCAAAATGCCCTTACAGAAATTGTTAAAGGGTAAAAGCAAGGAAAATGCAATTATAAATTTGTATAAGAGAACAAGATTGCATTTGAGAAAAATGCTATGCCACCGCATTAATACAACTCTAAATAGTAGTGTAGGAACATATTTTTTTTGTTTCTATACAATTGAAGATTGTCATAATGCATATCTAATTCTTATTATCAGATTAGTGGTTAAATCTATTGTTAACTCAATAAAAGATCAGAGTAGGAATATATCAATGCACTTGAGTCTAGTGAATTTGGTGGTGAAGGTCATATTTCACACAGCCTAAAATTTCATGACTGCATCAAAGGACAACATGTAATACACTTTGTCAAAATCTAGGTCAGCTGATATCAAAGTTCACTTTTAATTTTGACACTAGAGGCAAAATTTGAACAACTTTGGTAGAGTACCTATAGATGATATCATTTAACAAATACTAAAGCTCTAAGCCTTGTACCTTCACACAATAAATTTTTTTTTATTTTTTACTATATGTATATTATTGAAAATCAATGACCCCGGGGCGGGGGCAATTTTGACCCCAGGGCTATTATTTGAACATTCTTGCTAGAGGTTCACTTCACAATGTTTCATGCAAAGTATCTAACCTCTAGCATTTGTCAATTGCTAGAAGAAATTTTTTTAAAGTTTTTACTATAAGTTTTTACTATGTAAATATGAGGAAAATCAATGACCCCCGGGGTCGGGCCGATTTTGACCCCAGGGCTTTAATTTGAACAATCTGGGTAGAGGTCTATCAGAAAATGCCTTATGCAAAATATCTAAGCTCTAGGCCTTTTGGGTCTTTACAAGAAGGTATTTTAAATTTTTACTATATGTACATATAGTGAAAATCCATGACCCCTGGGGCAGGGCTGATTTTGACCCCAGGGTTATAATTTGAACAATATTGGTATAGGTCTACCAGACAATGCCTTATGCAAAATATCTAAGCTCTAGGCCTATGGGTCTTTACAAAAAGGTATTTTAAGTTTTTACTACATGTACATATAGTGAAAATCAATGACCCCGGGGCGGGGCAGATTTTGACCCCAGGGCTATAATTTGAACAATCTTGGTAGAGGTCTACCAGACAATGCCTTATGCAAAATATCTAAGCTCTAGGCCTTTTGGGTCTTTACAAGAAGATTTTTAAATTTATTCTTATAATTCCTTTTGGTTGCCATGGCAACCAGATTTCTGCATGGAATTAAATTCTTTGAACAACTTTGGAAGCCCTTCACCCAAGGATCAATCCTGCCAAGTTTGGTTGAAATTGGACTAATGGTTTTTCACAAGAAGATTTTTTAAGTTCACTATATAATCTATATAACACACACACACACAAACAAACGAACAAACAAACACACACACACACACACACACAGGTGAATCGCTATATGCCACCGCATCGCAGATGCTGCGGTGGCATAAAAAAACAAATTATGTTACCTTATATGTATGCTTGCATGCGTCAGAATTTAGAAAAGCTCTATGATAATCTTGTAATGTGATGTTAAAAAGTTATGACTAGAAATGTGTCATCATGCCACGGATGCCCCCGCATGCAGCCAAAATTTCAGATGTTATAATATTTAGTTCCAAATTTGTTTGCACAAATTATTTTTTTCATTTGCAGTTCAAAGCCTTTAAAACTTTTCAATGTTAACACAAACCATTTTCATACAATGTTCAAAGCACTGAAATTATTCAGTCTTAACCTTTTGAAAATAGCATATTTCATATTTGTAGCCAAAATAATGGCTACATACATTTCCACAAAAGTATGATTGCTGAAACTGAAAGTTCAAAATTTTTCCAACATTCAAGAAAGATAAGTTTGTCCAAAATCATTGAACCACGACCAAATTCAAACTTAAACTGCTTATTCTTAAGATGTATCTATATTATTTTCAAAGTGAAAGGGACATAACTCTGCCAAAAAATCATCAAACCATGACCAAATTCCAACTTGACCTGCCCATTCCTTTGACATATCCATATGTCAAATTTGAGTTGAATATGTAACACAATTGGGTAGATAATGAACAGAAACTGTAAATTTCATATTATTTTCAAAGTGAAAGGGGCTTTACTCCCCCAAAAATCATTGAACCATGACCAAATTCGAATTTGGCCTGGGCATTCCAAAAACATATCCATATGACAAATTTGAGTTGAATGTGTTGTACCGGTGGGGAGATAATAAACAGAAACTGAAAATTTCATATTATTTTCAAAGTGAAAGGTGCATAACTCTGCCAAAAATCATTAAACCATTACCAAATTTGAACTTGACCTGCGCATTCCTTTGACATATCCATATGTCAAGTTTGAGTTGAATGTGTTGTACCCTTGGGGAAACTGAAAATTTCATATTATTTTCAAAGTGAAAGGGGCATAACTCTGCCAAAAATCATCGAACCATGACCAAATTCGAACTTGACCTGTATTTTATCATGACATATCCATATGTCAAATTTTAGTTGAATGTGTAGTCCCGTTGGGGAAATAATGAACGGAAACTGAAAATTTCATATTATTTTAAAGTAAAAGGGGCATAACACTGCCAAAAATCATCGAACCATGACCAAATTCGAACTTGACCTGTATTTTCTCATGACATATCCATATGTCAAATTTGAGTTGAATTTGTACAACCATTACTAAGATAAGGAACGAAAACTAATGATGACGGAATGACGGAAGGACGGAACAGGGTAACACTATATGCCCCGGCCATTACATGGCGGGGGCATAATAAAATAAAGAAGGACTATCACAGGTAAAGCAAAGCTTGACTACTCTCAGCACAAGAGTCATATTGAGTCTTGCAAAGGGGAGTAAGGACTCAATTTTTTACATCTACAAATGAAAACTTATTTCAGAGTTATGGGTCTTGTTCAGCATTTGAAAATAGTGACCTTACAGGTGTAAACATTTCAAATAAACATCTTTTATAATTCATGCACAAATTTCTGCAAAAACTTAACCAAATGTTATGTTATATGTTGGTAAGCATGACAGCTTCTTTGAATATTTGAGCTAGAAATAGATGTAAAAGCTACATGTACTATAATGTGTATACAACAAAGATCACAATGTTAACAAATAGACCTAAGGAAGAAAAAAAAATGATGTTAATTGTTTATAAAGTAAGTGACTACAATTAGACACATTCAGACTACACTTCCATACAGTGTACCTTCAGTAGCTTAATTGCTTTAGCTGTTGATGGGGTCATAGGATTCAAAGTTGGGGCCCCTTGTGGGGATAACTGGAGTAAAATATATACAATGATCAGTTCATTATGAAATATGTGCAAACAATAGTAATACTGCTATAATATATTCAAACAATATGGGAATCAAGTACAAGTAATGTTCCTTTGTCAACATGTAGCATGTAGTAAATGTTGATGGTGCAGCATTTATAAGACATTTAAACAATATTGCTGTGTTCATGCAACTGAAGCACTTCCATAAAAGCCGACAAGTTCTGGCGCTTAAATTATCACTGTTCAATAATTGCTATCAATCTTGTCAAATTCATGAATCTGATGAAATTTTTGTTTGTTTGATTGGGTTTTATGTCACACCAACACAGAAAAGGTCATACGGCGACGTTCCAGCTTTACTGCAGGAGGAAGACCTCAGATGCCCTTCCGTGCATTATTTCAGGCACAAACGGGTACCTGAGTAGAACCACTGATGTTCTGTAAGCTAGCTGGATAGCTTCCTCACATGAAAGAATCCAAAGTCCCTGTCAGGATATCTGATGAAATGACAAGTAGATCAAGTTCCTTACACCTTTCTTAAGCAAGTCTGCCTATATAAATAAATGTTTATCAATCACATTTCTAGCACAAGTTCATAATTGCCAATACACATCAAACGGTATACAAAAGGTAAATAATGATTTTATTATTTATCAAACAAGGGGGACAACTTACTTTTCCTCCAAACATACTGTTTTGGCAAACAGAGGCAGATCTCCTTGACAACATCTCACCACCTGTAAAATAGAAATAAATACAAGTTTCTTGAAATTTAACTTGTGCAGGACCACCTATGACTACAGTAAAATTCATACTTTTAAACAAATCTTTTTTTTTTTAAACTATTAAAGAGCTAGGCTTAATTGTCTGTTTTGGAACTAGGAAGTCACTACAATTCATCTTTAGCTGTGACCACAACTGTCCATGCTTCAATCACTCAATTTTTTAAGACAAGGTTTGATTGTACTGACATAAAACATACTGTTTCAAATATTTCATCCCATTATAGCAAGTTATGTCTAAAGTCTAATTTCGGTCCCAGCAATTTCTCACATTTCAGACATGAATATTCATTATCATTTTAAACATTAATATCTGTCAAAATATTTCTATTGAAAAGTGTACTATCTCTTGGTATACAAAAAACTGATAACATCTATTCATACAAAAAAGAGATAAGATCTATTCAAATAGCAATTTTTTGTAGTTATTACCATATTTGTGAGAATGAGGTATATATATGTTATATGTTACGTGTTCTATATATCTTATATATAGAAAGAGAGAGAGACATGACTTGTACAAACCTGGCAAATCAATGGTTGACGGTGCCAGAGATCTACTGTCTTGTAATAATTTCCTGAAATAAATAACAAAATTACATAAACTATTTTAAATGCTATCTTTGAAATCAAAAGCATAAATAATCATGTTTCTATCTTAACCATTAAAACATTTCTAGTTATCAATGCCTTTCAATTTCTGCCCTAGACAGAGATAATTCAATATAAGATTTTCAATAGACAGTCAATATATAGAATACAAAACATGACCAGAAAGTATAAGAAAAATGTTTTTTTTAAAAATATGGAAACCTATTTTCTCTCATATTTATATAATCATAAAAGTTTTAAAGTTTTCATGTTAAAGGACACATCCTCCTATGGTTTTGAATACTGTCTATGATCAATTGATGGAATTTTGGTATAAAAAATAATGTAAGAACAAAGTTGTCAACAGCTACATGTCAGATACATGGAAGTCATTATTGCTGTTAGATTCAGGGATTATTCAGAGTGTTATTAGCTGGACAAATATTCTCCCATTTCATGACAGTAAGGTCAAGGCATTTAATTTGTTCTTTAATGGTAATGACCAGCTAGTTCAAATATTAGACACGTAAAGTTGACAATGGTATCTAATGGGAGAGAAGGGAACTAGTAAATCTAATCTAGGTAATTGGTTATATCAGTAGGATGACGTCTATAAGGATTACAAGTTGCTACATTGTCACATTCATCAGCCGGCAATTCATGCCAGATAATTAATGCCTTCCTTGGTAAATATCTGTGTACTGTATAGAAAATGTGCTAAATATGGAATAAATGTGACAAGTCAGAATATGTAGAGTTCATATCCACTCAAAAAAGCTTTCAATGCAGGAAAAAAAAATATTTCTTGCCACTTTGGAAGCTACCATTATTGTCATTTGGTATATTGCAGTAACATATTTCAAAGAATCTACAATAACAGTCCAAAGCTTCAAAGGGCCAACTTTTTCTTTTGATAAAATCAAGTTAGACAATAATTTTTTTTGAAGTTTACAGGGTCTTTAAAATTAATTCAGCTAAACTATTTAAGCCTCAAATTGCTGGCAGGAAACTGAATATTCCCTTGCAAACCAATGCTGACCATGATAATGATCTGTACTGTCCACTAGTAAGTTGGTTACTTTGAAATTTTCCTTAAAAACAATGTATGTCTAGATTGAATAATGCCATGTCCATTTAATATATTAAGTCCAGTAAGGATTAATAAAGTTATGCTTAAATACATGTAGTGCCATTCAGTCAAACTGCAGACATCAGTAACATGAGCCTCATCAATATTTTTGCTTTTTTAAAAATTAATTTTCATTACACTTAAAGTTTAGTTTTTCTTTTCAAAACAACTTTCCATTATTCATTCAATATATGAAGTTACAACAATGTTGACATACCTAGCTTCCTCTAGCTCTGCATGTTCTCGTTCATGTACCCTTCTAATATTCTCAACATGGTGTACCATTATATCTACAGCTTTACTCATTCTCTTCTCCTATAACATAAATCATTATCACAAATATTCAAGTAAACTCTAAGAACGTTTCAAATTTCCCTTACTGTCAGCTTAAGTTTTAAAATCTATATTATATAACCCATGTAAAATGGTGCAAGGATCATCATATTCAGGAGTTCAGCTAATTCAATCATTTCTTTTCAACATTTAATGAAAATTTCTTCAAACAATCTTCATTATTGATTTGATAAACACTGGTTGAAGCATAAAACATTAGTATGGCATCATATTGTCTTGTGAAAGTCATCAATATTCATTGAGGTTGACAGGAAAGACTATGATGATGATAAAATGCAGACCTGTTGTATAGCACCAAATACTTCTGCTCGACTAGAGACTCGCGCTGTAGACTTCTCTAGTATATCAATATGGTTCTGGATCTTTGTAAGAACTTCTCGTACTTGAGGGTCCGTACAGATCTGGTTGAGAGTCTGTAATACCAAAAATAAACGTTAAAATTTCTTCAAATTTTTCTTGACTAATAATGTAGTCAAACATAATTATATCAAAGGAACACTTTAAAATAAACTGAACATGTAGTCAACAAGTCAACAAAGGTCTCCCTGTTATCCCCATAAAAAGGATTTTTTGTCAATAAGAATTATATTATTCATTGTAAGCTCTTTTTCAATTCTAAAGACTTGAATTTCCTTCTGTTATGCTATGTTCATGTTGTTTTACATTAATAACTTTATAAAGAACAGACAAATTTTTTAGATTCTTCTCAATTTCTGGTTTGGCAGACTCTTAAACAAATGAATTGCTCACAGATAGCAGTTCTGTAATTTCACTTTTTTTGCAATAAAAAATGACTTGGAATATCAAAGAAAGTCATTTGTTAACCATGTTCTTAACAAATGTTATGTCTAAAATTGAACCCAAGATAACATTCACTTGATTTAAAAGAAAATTTCAATTTTGAACGGAAAGTTTGAAACTTTAAGCAATTTAGAGACAGTAAAATGAAGAAATTACTTTACCATAATGGGACATTACCTCTGACAACAATGATAGAAAATCAATCTTAATCTTTCCCAAGTTATGTTTATTACATTTTCTCAAGATTAATAGACACAAGTCTTGCTGCAAATAGTTATACATTAACAATGAAATAAATTCTCCCATTCAAATCTAATAATACTGAATACCATGTGCATAACGTTTTAATCAAAATTGACTATTAAGTATGTCTTAATAGTAAGTTTCATGTGCATATCATTTTAATTAAGCCTGTCCATGGAGAGAAAATATTAAAAACAGGTGGTATAGTTTATATAAACATAGACAAAAACAAGAAGTCTTTCAAAATAAAAATTATAGTGTAAGGGGACATAGGTCTCTGTTTAAATGATAGCCTGTATCACTGATTTGCCTATATGTACATTATTTCTACAAGCCAAAGATTAAGGAAGAAATATGTACATGGGTGTAAGTTAAAAATATTTAACAAGAATTTTTAACAAATACAAAGACAGTTCTAGCAATTTGAATGTTAGTACATCAATGCGTTGTGCTGTCACTAGAACTTACTATTAATAAATGTCTCATATAAGAAACATAAAACAAACTTAAACAATTAAAGAAAGCTACAGCAATTTAAATGTTTGCAGTATAATTGAAGCCAAAATATGTCTTAGTTGCATTCAATAGACGTTTCAATTTTCAGAAAATTTAACATTTTTTTAAAACTTTGACATTAAAGATTTTGTTTTACCTCAAGACCAATACGTAGACCCTGTAATTCTTTGTCCACATTTTGTTCAGCAATATCCCGAGATCGTTCTTGAATTTCAAGACGTTTCTCAAGTGTCTGGGAATCTGTTTTGAAGGCTAGTGAAAGACTGGTGAACTTACTCTGAAACAAAATACAAACAATACTAATATATCATGTTATAAGGTCAGCAAATATTCTTTTCATAAATACCAGTTATTCATTAAAATTGTATCTCAAAATAATATAAATGATGGTTATAGAGGTTGAAAGATTAACAGAAATTTATTTGAAGATGTGTGCCACATGAACATCTGTCCTATTCAACACTCCAGAATGCATCTTATGCCTGGAAATTGGTATCATATGATCTTAGTATGATTGGCAGTTGCTGTGCCGGTTTGTCGGTTTATTCCCTATGATTGTCTTGGAGTGGGACTTTGATCATGGAGGTAATTTTTATTTTGGTGCAGGTTATTCATGAACTTCTTCAATTCACGCACTCTCAGCAACATGTATATTTGTATCATTTGTTTCTGTACTTATTTCCATATTCTCTTCTGTGTCACTATCTATAACTGCCTAGTATATATCAACAGCTGTATCATCTGAATCCCCATGTACCTCATGATGACCTGAATCTGTATGATCTATTTCTGCCATCTCTCTATCATCTACATTTCCTACAATCTATCTTAAAATTAATTCTCTCTTCATTTCCTGTCAAGAGTCTTGGGATTGTGGGTGGGTGTTCCCATATCCAAATGTATGATCTACAACTTTATATCTGATATCCCAGTCTGAATCATCATCATCATCATGATCATCATCATCTTCACATACCAGTTAATGTAATTGTTCTTCTTTCTTCATTTTTTTTCTATAATTATCTTCTCATCTGATTCCTCTTTTCCTGACTTTGGATGGGAAATAAATTGTTTCTGTGTAGTATTTTCCTCTACTCCTGATACTTGAGAAATCCAGGAAAACAAATGGTTTTTCTACTCCTAGATACTTCTGTTCTTACTTTAAAACAGAGGTGTATGATATCACTTCTAGCTTTTTCAATAATCTTGTAAAGTTTTTCTCCAAATTTGTAGGCTATTTAATGTTTTCTTTTAAATTCTCTTACTTTGCATTTAGTATATATTGTTAATTATTTATGATACTTTATGAGATTAACTTTTTGATGTCATTTAGTTGATAGCATCTAGCCATTTAACATGTTAATGTTTCTTTTCAGTAAGCTGTTTAATGAGTTGTAACTTTTCAAAAATGAGATTGTTTTTACAAATGATTATTTATACATTTCATAAACAGGATACATATGTAACTCTATTTTCACCTTTAGTGAATTTAACCTTATTACAACTGAACGATAGTATGATTCAACCTAAGAGATATTTGTACTTAATATGCAAAAGATGATAGTTTTCAAATGAACATTTTTGTTAGTATAGAAGGAAAATTGATATACATCTACATTTACTGTACATCTGTATGCTATGAATAATATAAGTGAAAAGAGAACCAAGATTTCACCAATTCCATTTAAACACTATTCCAACCAAGTTACATTTAAATATACATGTAAGAAATGCAGTACATTGTGAATATTTCATGTAAAATTCAATGAGTTGATGTAAAGACAAGACAATGGGCAAGACAAGACAATGGGCAAGACAAGACAATGGACAAGACAAGACAATGGGCAATACAAAACAATGGGCAAGGCAAGACAATGGGCAAGACAAAACATTGGGCAAGACCAGTTAATGGGCAAGACAAAACAATGGACAAGACAAGACATTTGGCAAGACAAGACAATGGGCAAGACAAGACATTGGGCAAGACAAAACATTGGGCAAGACAAGACATTGGGCAAGACCAGTTAATGGGCAAGACAAGACAATGGGAAAGACAATGAGCAAGACAAGGCAATGGTCAAGACAAGACAATGGGCAAGACAAGACAATGGACAAGACACACATTATTCTTGAAGCTTATTTCTTTCCAGACACAACACTCTATACCCCTATACTAATGTTACGTTCCAAGTTAAATGAACAACAGAACTAAATAAAGCACAAAGCAGGGCATGTAATAAAAACATTACCAGCTTTTACAATCAATCAATACTCAAATTTATTTAAAAAATAAAATCAAATCCACCTAATTTAATTATAAGAAGACCTAAATTCCAATAAGTTTGAATTCAATCAATGAAAGACAAATGGAAACAAAAATTTTATTGAGCCCAGAGTAACTTTTGGAAAAGAAAATATCAATTTATCTATACAATTAATGAAAATACAGAAACTTTCAGCAAAAAAACTCCAAATCAAAAAGCAAGAGAAATCTTCATTTTGTTGACTTCTTGGCATCTAGTAGTCTTACTCGCAAATCATCATGTTTTTGTATTCAGCAATACAACATGAGGAGACTTGGTGTTAAGTTGTTTGCTTCAAGTAATAAAACACTGAAATCCCCCACACCACATATATATTGTTTGAACTACATAATTTACAATAAAGGCATCATAAATTTTCATGAGAGGGAAATAAATATGATAGAGAGTAATTGAAAGACCTAGTTGTGTATATATATTACAGTAACGGGCTATATATATCTTAATACTCCCAATATTGTACAATATCAAACAATCATTCAGAGCTCACTTGAATTCTAAGAATATAATTATATACATTTGTAAGCAGGAGTTTCATTATGATCTGTAAGCTGGTGAAAACATCTTCCGACTGGTAAATTCTTTTTACTTTCTTTTTTTGGCCGATACTTAAATATCCTCGTAATTTAATCTTAAATCAAACTTAATGATACTCCTGACTTTATGTTCAAAAGAATAATTTTTAAGGGTCAGTCAAACAAATTTAAGATTATTGGATAAGCATTTGGATAATTGCATAGTTACCTGAACAATGCTTTTGAGAAGATAATGAAGCAGATAAATGTCAAGGTCACTAAACCATACTAAAAAGTATTCATTAGTGACAAAACAGATCATTTAGTGACAAAACAGATCTTTTTATAAAAGGGAATGTGAATAAATCTTCATCAGATGACAGAAATATTTCCTATTAAGTGAAGTGAGGAAATAATTTGAGACCTTTTTCATCAGCCTCTATCTAATACAATGTAAAAACCATACAAGTTGCTATAGCCTGACACGATCTCATAAATATCAGTGTCTGCCATTATACGGTGACGGGAAATAATAGATCAATGCGTGTTTTAATGAAGTTGCTGCCATTTCTGTGAGGAATCTGATATTCTAAATTTGGCAAATAATTACCTAACAAATGACATAACAGAGATCCAGTCTGTGCTGAAAAAATTATCACTTCATACTTGATCAAATACCAGTCCATGTACTCCTTACAGGAGACAGTTACTAACTGAACTAATTATGTCCCTGGTAATTGTTATTTACTAGGTAGATTAACTTAACTAAGCATGAGACTATCATGAGTCTTTGGCATAAAAACTCTAATGATGTCCATGCAGCATGTATCAAATATTGATCATGATGTAAAGAAATTTAGGATTATATTCTAAACAAATATACTTAATCATTGTACAATACTTTTTTCTATGTGAAAAATGATATATATTCCTTACATACCTCTATTTCCTGGTCAGAGAGTTCTTCAGAACTGAAAAAGATAAATAAAATAAAATTTTAACATAATTAAAGCAATCATAGTTAGCTATTATTCAGGTAAATAGGTTGATGATATCTTTCTGCAAATTGTTTTTATATACCCATATATATTTTATATCTTATATATTTGTATGACACCTGTTATGGCAACACCTCCAGAAACAACCACTACAAACATTATCCAAAGATAAGCCAATCTTCATGATGAAAGTGGTAACAAACAACTTCATTCAAACAAGTGAATTATTGAATTGATATATCCTGCTGTATTACGTTTGGCTTCTTTATACTTAAATAAAATCACACAAAGGCCACAGAAGAGCAGTCAAGCAAAGAAGCTCCTATTGTAAGTAACATCCTTTAAATATAATGGCATTTAAATTTTATTATGACATTGTGTCCTTTGGTAATTCATTAAATACTTTATAAAATTACAAGTACTCAGAATTACAATGGTAGGACTCGAGTGTCGTGAAGCATGCAAATTTATGCTTAAATTAGTCAATTATTTGAACTCAATTAAAAAAGGAAAGATAATTTAAATATCAGCTCTTATTTGACAAGTCATCACATTACTTGTAGTCATTTGATAAACCGGTCACATGACTTGGATATTAGACAAATCAGTCATGTGACTGGTAAATTAAGTTGAATCAGTCATGTGACATGCAGTCATTAAACAAGTCACATGACATGAATATTAGCTGAAAATACCCTGGCAAGTCACATGACTGGTGTATTAGTCAGTCAAATGACATGCACATCAGAAAAGATAAAGACTTGTACATAACACAAATCAGTAAAATGACTATGCACAATAGAGAAATCAGTGTAATTACTATGTACATAGCACGACTCAGTGAAATGACTATGTACATAGGATGATTCAGTCAAATGACTATGTACATTAAGGACGACTCAGTCAAATGACTATGTACATTAAGGACGACTCAGTCAAATGACTATGTACATTAAGGACGACTCAGTCAAATGACTATGTACATTAAGGACGACTCAGTCAAATGACTATGTACATTAAGGACGACTCAGTCAAATGACTATGTACATTAAGGACGACTCGGTCAAATGACTATGTACATTAAGGACGACTCAGTCAAATGTACATTAGATGACTCAAATGACAATGTACATAAGAGAAATCAGTAAAATGACTATGGGCATAAGACAATTTAGTGAAATGACTTCTGTGCATTAGACAATTCAGTCAAATGACATGACAAATAATCATATGTCATGTATATTAGATAAACCAATCACAAAATTTGAAGTTTTTATACAAATCAATTATTGTATGTTATACAACTCAGTCAAAATAACTTGTAGTCGTTAAACAAAACAGTAACGTGAAATACATCAGGTACAACATGCATATTAAAGTGTGAGACAATTATTGTATAAAAATAGACAATTTTGATATTTAATGTATAAGAAAACTAAAGCTACAGGTTATAAAAAATTCTAATTTATCATAAAAACAGTACAGAATATATATCTACTTGTGTATAATGAATGCTAAAACAAGAAACAAATGGAACACATATAGTGTAAGCACTGGTCAGTATATGATAACATCTAGACACAACAATCATCATTGGTTCTCATATAAATAAAATCTGACACTAAAGTGGATTTGTTGCATTATCTTGACAGAAAATCAAAGCTTATCAAGTCAGTACTATCAGACACATGTTATTGTGGTGAATGGGTACAGACACTGTTCATATTAGTAGATGAATATAAGTACCATCAAAACATCTATCAAATTTAGTATAGACCTTTATTATAGGTAGGTAAGATTAATATAAAATAATTTGCAAGATGGGTTTGATGACAGAAATAAAATGCAAGTGCTACAACATGTCATAATAATGAAGTAAACGAAGGAAATAATATGATATGTAACAGTTATTTATATTACAGAATCAACTACAACAGGATCCTTAAGATTTTCCAGAATAATGTGTAGTATTTACTTATTAAATCAGTTACAGAAACTTATTAAAGTCTTCTATTGACAAAAATGTTCCACTTATAATACAAGCACACCATTTCCACAATTTTCTGACACCTTTTTTTCAGAGCCAAAAAATTAATTAAATAATCATTACAAAAGGACACATTATCTGAAAAATGTCTTTTTTGTTTCTTTCTTTTTTTTCAAATGATAATTATATTATATTAAAAAGAATAAAAGAATTAAGTAAGAAATTTTTTCGCTATTATTATTCACCTTATTTCAAAGAAAAACTTAAACATAACAGACATCGAGACTAAAGTTTTGCCACACAAACATTAAGATTTAAGTGTTGACAGACAAACGGACAGACATACAGACTAACACAGACAAGATTTGACCTTACCCTTTGCGAGCCCTAACTGCTTCCATCACAACCTGAGCAAATGCCATTTTTGTCATCTTGTATCACTTTCCTACTTAACTGTTCATACATACGATTTCTTACTTTTATTTTATTATCTCTTAATCCAGTAAATAGGCAGTTTGAAACATAGTAAATCCAAGCTGAATGTCTAAAAAGCATGTAAACTTATACAGTTTGTTGCGGAGATATCAATTTGAATTTATCTTTAATACAAAATGTCCCAGCCTCAAGTTGCACCCATTTTTCCTCCTTTATAAATATTTATTTTACATCTAAATTACCTAATTAAATCTTTTTCCTTATTGTCCGTGTTAAAGTCCCTAATCATACAATCAGGAAATTAGTGAATTAATATGCTTATAAAAGAAACCATCACACTGTATCAGTTATATTTTTCTACAGCAATATCTTGTACAACAGAACTGCCAAGAAGTGTAAATGTTCTGATACTGCGAGAGAGGCCACTGATCAACATTCATAAACCAAATTTTCTATTGCCATTCTGAAATCATTATCGATCTGTTCTCATAAAATAAAACATTTGCCCTATTCATAAACATGGCTATATCATGTTTGAATAGCTGTACATGATAATACTGTACAGGCATTTAACCTTAATTCCATCTTGTTACAGAGCAAATGAATGAGGCAGAAATGTTACAGAAACTCGCTAAGATCAATCATTTATTCAAGAATAAAGGCTAGAGCCTTAATTGACTAAAATGCTGAGCAAGAGTGAAAAAAAAACAAAAAAAACCCAAAAACAATAATAACTGAACAAATTTTTCCACAGAGCCGAGCCTTGAATATGGCACATATTCCTACTTAAAGGATAAAGTTAGCGTAAAATCCCCAAGATGTAAAATGTCACATAAAACACATTTTTCAAAGCTTCCATTATGAACAAATATCAAAATCATCCAAGTTGTAATCAAAGTTTGTAATGAATAATTCCTTGTTTGAAAAAAATCAATACTGTATTTTCCATTCTCTATATTAACTACTTAATGTGATTTTAATCCTAATCATTGTGTATTAAATTCAAGTTGACACATAAAGCATTAAACAAAAATCTTAACAAAAATCAGCTGTCCTTCCAATACCGAGGCATCACTAACACTATTTTAAAACTGAATAAAATTTACAACCGGTAATGTGAACAAGGTAAAAATTTTAGTGTTCAAAATTAGCCTGATTTATTACCATGTAATAAATTTTTGTTGTGTGTATTTTATCCACCCACGATAGGAAACTCAACAACTTGTTAACTATGACATTGGTTTAGAGGTACGATAAATACAACATATTAAGAGGCTGTTTTACCAATTAAAACAACTGAAGGCTTTAAAACATTCACTTGACAACTTTATAACATTTCATTTCACAACTTAAACACTTATAATAATAATCTCAAATTGCTTTCATCTAAAATATCACTCATTCAAACAAACTTATAAGAAAAGATACATCCATTTATTGGCACAACTCAGACACTGCAGATTATTTATTAAGATTTGATAATCCGAGTTTTAAAGAAATTGAGAAACTTTGAGATCCGGTTATCACATGGGAATAAATTCAATGTTGTATGAAAGTGAATGGAGAGAGAAAATAATTAATACAAAAAACAGCATCCTGTAGAAACAATATCACACACATATCTAACTTATAAATTGCCTTAATTTACTTTGAGAGAAGAAACAGAAAATTGACAGTACTGATCCAAATCCATCCTCGCAAATTCTTGTTAACAACGTCACAGTACGATTCCTAGATAGGTAATTACAGTACAATCTGGATCAATAACAGAACTTCTCTAATAATAAAGTTTCATCAAGATCAGCCTATATCTGTACACATACAAAACTTGTCATACAACTGCATACAACTGTTCCTTGGCACAACATTGATACAGCAAACATTTAACAATTTTAAACTCACAATCTTATCTGTTTCATTTAACAACTAATCCTATAAAGTCATTATGTAATCCCTTTAAAATGTTTTAATTAAAACAGGTAAATGAAATCTTGACTTTAAAAAGAATTCTCCAAATGTCACATGACTGTTATTGAATATATTAAGGTATAGTCTAAGTATGTACCAAGGATGAACTTACTGTAGAAGTTGTTAAAATTGGTTAGTGCCTTTCATATCGCATAACAACTTGATGTCAACACAACAATTTACACTTTTCTTTTTAAAAATCATCTCTACATGAATTTTTATAGATGAAAAAAGGTTATTTATTTTGCAAGAACACAGAGTGCCGATGTACAAGTAATAACATTTTACTGTGCAAGGTATTGCAAAACAACAATCCAGTTACTATTACACAATGTGGACATGCAGAATATTATGTGGAAATTGGCTGCACAGTGGGTACCTTGTATTCCCACTGAAGGAAATAGACACTATACATTTTAGTAATATATTTATATCGGAATGCCTTAACTACTGTTATTCAATGTTTCATTTTGTATAATGTATCTTAATGATATTTGAACTCTGTGTGCCAATTGTTTGAGTAAACTTATCTTGTGATGTATTTTTTATTCAAGGTTTCAGTAATAAAGCAATTCAAAGAGCC